GGATTGTGATTGCCAGGCCATCCTGGCAAAAAAGTTAGTGAGACCCTGCCTCACAAAACAAGATGGGTTTTATTGTGCATGCCTGTCATCTCAGCTACCAGAGGCATGGTTAGAAGGATGGAGGCATAGGCAGAAAGATTGAGGTCTCAGGCTGGCCCCAGACAAAAATATGAAATCCTGTCTGTAAAATAACAAGCAAACAAGATTGGAGCAGGGCTGAAGTGGTAGAATGCCTTCCCAGCAAGCATGAACCCTGTTGTTTATGCTTTTTATTTGGAGTTTTATTATATCAGGTGTGATTGAAATCATTGGCCATATGATTAAAATCAACCTCCATTCCCTTGCCCCTTCCTAGAGGTCAAGGTGTGGGACTAGCCTCTAATCATGTAGTTGGTTCCTCTGGGACCAGAGCCAATTCTGAAGCTACTGAGTCACCTTATTGTCATAAACTGGTATGGTCAAAGAGACTCCATGAATTCCAAGACACTTTTGGGACTCAAATTCCAAGGGTTTAATGTCCAACATGAGCCCATTGTACATTGTGAATTGTCACAATGAATCCCCCCTGTGTAATGAATATATCCTAATAAAAAATTTTTTTAAAAAGAAAGAAATTTCAAGGGTTTTGGGAGATCAGGCCAGGAAGCAGTTAGATAAAATATGTATTTTTTATACCACAACTGATTGAGAGAGTAAGATCAGAAGTAGGTAGTTGTACTTCTGAGTGCCATTACTTTTTGTTTTCAAAGCTCAAAAGGGTGAAAAAAGAAAATAGGTATGATTAACTGAGATAAAACGAAGGTCAAGCTGTGAACAATGGTAGAATACTTCATAAATGAATATTTTTATTTTTATAATACCCTAAACTTGATTTAAAATATATTATGTGCTTATTTTGATTCAGTGGTGGCTAAAGAAAATTTGCTCTATTTCTATTGTCATTAAGGATGTGATATTTAATTATATTCAGTTGAGTAATACATATTTAGTAGAAGGAAACCAATATAATTATTTTAGGTAATAAAAGGGTCATTAGGAAATAGTATACCTAATGTCAAAAGACAGAATTATAACAAATTTAGTTTAAATGTCTTGTGTTTTATTTGTGATTTTAGAATTGACAACTCCTCATTCTATAAAATAGTATTCTAGTGAATTGAATAGAAGAGGTTGGTTTTATAGACAAGAAAGAGCTGAGGAAAGCAGAAACAAAGAACAAAAAGCATATTGGTTATTTCAAAGTCACTTTCCTTCTAAAGGTTAAAACAGAGGTTACCTCCTTGTCATGCTGACTAAAATTGGCTGTTATCTCTCATTTTCCTGACTTCTTGGAAGGTTAAGTAACTTAATTTTGGCTAACTTCAGCATATGTGACTGGATTTTGGTTTGGTCTGTTGGGCTTTCTGCAGGAGATCAATCCAAACCAATGGCCTCATATAAACTTTATCTAACACTAAGAATCAGCATATCTCTAAAAATACTAAAAGTTTGCTAATTACTTTAAACATTTTAAAGAAATGGAACCAAAATACATTGTCTTGGACTCCATATTAATTTGGAGGGGTTCACAAAGAATTTTACATTGTTTGCTGGGTATCCATGACTCACGTCTGTAATCGTAGCTACTCAGGAGGCAGAGATCAGGAGGATTGTGGTTTGAAGCCAGCCCTGGCGAACAGCTCACATGACCCCATCTCAAAACCCATTACACACATACACTCACAAAAGGGACTGGTGGAGTGGCTCAAGCTGTAGGCCCTGAGTTCAAAACCCAGTACTGCAAAAAAAGAAAAGAATATCACATTACTTAAACAATTCTAGCATTAGAAATAACATTTTAGTTTCAGTGAAGGAATTTGACTGGAAGAAAACTCTGTATTTCTGGAATTATATTAAGGAATAAGATTAATGTGCTTTTCCTTTGTCTTAAGCTATGACTAGTGTATAAGTACAGACAAGTAAATGTTACTGGTAAAGAAATGACTTGAGTCTGGAAGCAGGAAGAAGCCAAAAATAACTTGTTACTTGTGAAGAACATCCTCAGCAAGATTGTCAATTGGTATTTACATATATGTGTAGAACTATAATCTGTTAAAGAGTTTTGAGATTACCTTTGTGTGTTTGATTCTAGCCTGAAACCATTACTTATGGAGTACTTAGAAAACATTGCTAAAATTATAAATTACTTAAAGAAACAGAAGTTATAGCTAGAGACAACGTTTATTGCTAGGAAGAGTCACATTCAAAAAAGAAACAAGAAAGTTACAGACTACTGTTCTTGATAATGTCCTGTAAGTAATAGAGTGGAAGCTTATTAAATAAGTGTATACCACTTACCTCAACTTCATTGAGAAGCTGCTGTGTCAGCAGTATAGCTTTGAATAGCAAGTGCTTGCCCCTAATTAATGTGGTGTCATAGGTGGATTGGTCTTTCTTATGACATAGTTTACTAAGATAATTAGCCACAGAAACAGTTGTGTTGAATTCTACTGATTGGTTTTTAACAAAAGTGTGCCCTCAACTCTGCCATTTAACTGTGATTGAATTTAGGGAAAATTGCTTAATTTCTGAGTCTGATAATCTTTATAACATAAGAATAATAATACCTTTCTTACAATACTTTCATGAATGTGAAGTGCATGGTTCAATGTCTGGTACGTACCAGTGATATCTGTATATTCTTGGTGTGGTACAGGGTATACATGATACTAGCAACTGTTTCTGTTGTTTGTCCTTCCTAGCTCAGACATGATTCTGAAATTTTGATTTGGTAGTCTTCTAAGGAATAAACAACTGTATCTTGATGCTTGGTTTGAAACATTTTATTTGATCTTTTCTGAGTTATTTTATTCACAAGCATTACTCTAAATTGCTAGTAAGTATTGCATAACCTTGGAATTCTCAGAGTCTGTAGTTTCTTAGACATTCCTATCAGTCAGCTTTCCATCATAGTGACAAAATACCTGAGAAGCAACTTAAAAGGAGGAAAGATTTGTTTTGGCTGAAGGTTTCAGTCCATGGTCAGCTAGCTCTATTCCTGTGGGCCTGTAGTGAGGCAGAATATGATGGGGAGGGCATGGCAGAGCAAGACTGCTCAACTCATGGCAGTCAGGGAGCAGAGAGAGAGAACTAGGAAGGGGCCAGGGTCAAAGGCATGTCTCCAGTGACCTCTATTTTCTCTAACCTGCCCCACTCTCCTAAGAGCCAATTCAGTGAATTAATCCATTGATTAATAGTGCCATTAGCTGGGGACCAAGCTGGGGGCTTGAACTTTTTTTTTTGGGTGGGGGACACTTCATATCCAAACCATAACAACATTTTAAAGCATTTTTAAAAGGGACTGTCTGGTGAACTTATAAGTATTTTTTAGCTGTGTGAAACTGACTTGACGTCCAGCTAGTAAATTCAATACCTTTAGCTTTGGGTAATCTCTAGCCACATGGTGCCAGACTCACAGATGGTTCCCTTTATAAATTATTATTGAAAAGATTAATACTTGACTGCCAGTGATTGTACCTTTTAGATTATTTTAGTATAAAGCATAACATTGAATATTTTCTAACATCTGAATTGATCTTTATAATAATTTTTTAATATTTTAGTAGAATCCACTGTGGTGGTTGTTTTTCTTCTTTACTGTATCTTTTTCTAGGAGGTTTTAAGCAAAGAGAACACTTGGGGTCTATCTGCCCCGTTATCAGCAGTCTTTTTCCCTGAGGGCTCACCTCTCTCTGACTGGTCCTTCGCTGCCAAAATGTTTGTGTTCCTTCTGGCCACATGTAATTGAACCAGGGAGGAAAAAACATACTCTGGCTGGATCATTTGGGTTTTCCTGGAGATTTAGAATTCAGACTGAATGACAGCCTGTCTTTAATTACTTGAACTGAAGTGATAAAAAACATTGAACATGTCTAGCTATTTCCAGCCTTTTATGTGGAGAAACAAAGAAAAAAAAAGTTAAGTCTATAGAGAAAATGGTGTAGATGAACAAAAAGAAACAAAGATAAAAGACAGTAGTCCAGATTCTTGCTTCACTGCTTTATAAGGCCCGGCTATCTTTCAGGAACATAACATCAGTGATCTTTAGAAGGATGTCGTGTGTGTGTGTGTGTGTGTGTGTGTGTGTATACAGTTACTCAAATTGGTTTTCTCTTAAAAATAAAATAACCCTGCCTAAAAATACTAAAGTAAAGTTAAAACAAAAATAGATGACTATGAATATCTACATGCCAAGTAATGAGACTTCCATCCACTATATACAAATAGATCATAGAACTAAATATAAGAGCTAAAACTCTTACAACAAAACAGGAATAACGCTTTGTGACCTTGGAATTAAGCAGAGGCTTCTTAGATACAACACCAAAAGTACAAGATAGATAACTGAGCTTCATTAAATTAAAATTTTTGGTACAAAATATGCCATCAAGAAAGTGAAAAGACAACTGGCAGAATGGGAGAAAATACTTACATATGCCTGTGTACCCCAGGTATTAGAACAAAAGCTATTATAATTTAATAATTAAAAACCAATTTTTCAGTGACCAAATGACTAATAAATACATGAAGAAATGGTAGGGCACTTGTTTTACAAGCAGGAAGCACTGAGTTCAAATCCCAATCCCACCCCCCACCCCCAAAAATGTGTCATTGATTTTGACTTTGTAGATATTTGTATAGTGTCTACAATTAATTCCAGCTCATTATATTCAACTATAACTCATTTTTAGAATGTATTAACTATATATTGCCAATTTTTGCTTTTTAGAATTTTTTGACAAAATACATATTAGAAAAATAAATTTGTATTATGAGTCAAGTTGCTTTTGGAGAAATCTATCATTACATCTGGTTTCATGTATGAGTTATTTAATGACTGATATGTGGCAAATATATTTTTATGTCTCACTTAAGTGATGGCATGGGATGGGATTCAATTTTATTTGTTTTAAGTATGATAGCTACATGATCTTAATATATTAGCTTTTTCTTATTTGCAGAGATCCTGCGTATTTTGATGAAAATTGGTTAAACAGAATCAAAACTGAAGTGGGAGATAACTGGAGACTAAAGGTATTTCTTTTTGTTTTTCTGTTAAATATTTAAATATTTGTGCTACATACTATTTGTTGTTTTTTAATGTAATACATGCAATGAGATTTAGAAAAGGTAGCCTATAGTGAAATAAACTAGAATTGAAAATTGCCCATGTTGAAGTGCCATAGTATAAGTTATTAAAGCATGGTGCGGGTGCGTCTACATCATAGCTCTACCATTTCCTTTTTGTAAGTGTTTAATCTCTGTGCCTCAGTTTCACATTGTAAAATGAGGATTGTAATAACAGAAATAAATGGGTTGCCATGTAAAGCAATTGCAATTATAGTACATGTGTTAGTTGCTAGTGTTATTATTGTTAATGAGAAAATATTGATCATTATTAACTGTGACCCACTCAGAAAGTGAAGCATATACAGTTCCTACCTAGTAGCCTTAAATTCCAGTATTTCTTAGTCTTAGACCAAAACTCAATGAAAAAGTTTACATTGTAACATACTCTTTACCCAAATGTATGTATATGGATAGCTCAACAAGTTTGTACCCTTACTTTATACAGTGATGTTTTTATTTTTTAAAATTTAGTTGTAACCCACTAAATTATTTTTTAGCTCTATATTCTGAAGTAATTACACACTCACAAAGAGTTGCCAAAAAAAAAAAAAAATGTATGGATAGGTTCTGTGTACCTTTCACCAAGTTTCTCCAGTGATAACTCAGAAATACATGATTGATGAAAAATACTGATTGCTTAGGTGTGAAGGACTGCCACAATCTAATTTGTTTTCTTTATTGAGTGGGTGAATAGAAAGTTTCTTTTTTTGGTGGTATTGTGGTTGGAACTCAGGGCTCTGTACTTGCTAGCCAGGTGCTCTACAACTTGAGCCATACCTCCAACCCTTTTTGCTCTGGTTATTTTGGAGATAGCGGTCTTGATTTTGCCCAGGCTGGCCTGGATTGAGATCCTCCTATTTTAGACTTCCCAGGATGAAAGACTTGTGCTACCATGCCTAGCTCTTTTCCATTGAGATGGGGTCTTGCAAACTTTTTTTGCCTGGGCTGGCCTAGAACTCAGTCTCCCTCATAGTTTGGGATGACAGGGTCTACCATGGTGCACAGCTATTGATTGAGATGGGGGTCTCTGAATTATTTGCCTAGAACCCTGATCCTCCCAAGTAGCTAAGATTACAAGTGTGAACCACTGGCACCCAGCTTTAGAAGACTTTTTAATGACTGCTTTAATTCCTGTCCTGGCATACATAACTGCAGTAATGTAAAATAATAACTGCAGTATTACAATCTAATAATGATTATAGTACCCTAATCCTGAACAGTCTTTGAAGATCAGGTTATTAAAGTGACTACTGTTTACTGTTAAAACATTTTAAAATAATTAAAACATTTTAAAAATAATTAAAATAATTAATGCATGTTTAAAATAATGCTACTAATTATTTTATGTTGCTTGTTGCCTTAACCAAAAAGGGAGTTATATATCTCCTTGCCCTGTTGCACACAAGTGCACACTCATACCAGTGCACACTGTCTTCAGTGCCATAAGTATGGCACTGGTAGTAATACAGAAAAGGGTAAAGAAGTTTTGCTTAATGTTTGGAACTGAAATTCCTGTACTCCATATTTTACTTTATGATATACTTCTTTGCTTTTTATGATGTCATTGATTAAAAATAAGGTATAGAACATTTTGTGATGAGAGAGAAACTACCATTTTAAATGAACATATCAGCTGGGTGCAGTGGCTTACATCTATAATACTAGCTACTTGACAGGGCGGGATTGGAAGGATTGTGATTCAAGGCCAGTTTAGGCAAATAGTTCATGATATACCAACTCCAAAATAACCAGAGAAAAATAGACCAGAGATGTGGCACAAGTGATAGAGTGCCTGCTTTCTAAGCATGAAGCTCTGAATTCAAACTTTAGTCCCACCAAAAAAGAAAACAAAACAAGAAAAACCCCAAAACCTTAAATGAAGAGATCAATGTTTAAGGCACTCTAATTTCAAATGTTAAAATATGAAAAAAATGAAGATCTTAGAATAGAAATAGAGGAAGTAAAGTACATTATGTATCATATCTCTAGGTTTTTTCAGAAATGTAACCATGTTAATTTTATTCATGAGGTTTGTTGGGTTTTTTTTATTGTTTTGAGATGGAGTTTTACCATGTGACCTGTGCTGGTTCATGATCCTCCTGCCCATGCCTCCTAAGTGCTGGGATTGCAGATGTATGTTACCATCCCTGGTTTGGTGTTTCTGATAAATAAACAGATTTTATTTTCTACTTTAAAAATAAATATCTTCAACCACTGGGTTGCTTTGCGGTAATTAAGTCTCTTTCACTTGATAACCACAGTCTGTACTATTTTCATCACTAGGACATCTTCAGTTACAAGTTGAATATCCTTAATCCAAAATCCAAAGCAATTCTGGACTCAAGCATTTCAGACAAGGAATGCTTAACCTATACATTTTACCAAAGGTCACCTCAATAAACAGAATGATCAACAGAATCATATGACATATTTAATTCAACACAAATTTAATTTGTATGAGTTGGGTCTAAAAAAGAGTAAAGAATTTTTGGTTTGCAGTAAATCTTGCCATGATTCTGTGTAGCATTTCACCCAGATAACAGTGAATTTAAGCTCCAGAGTAAGTAAATACTGTGAGACATCTGTATGTTTCTTCTTCCTCCTATCTCATTTCTAGGATCCTTCTAACAGCACAAGTATTTTTGCAGTGCTCAGAGTGTTGTTGTATTCTGATGCCTCAAATGGTAATTTTTTTAACCCATAGGCTCAAAAATATTTACCTTGTTTGGTATTTAACTAAAGAAATAGCAGTCTAATCTGACTGGAGGAATTTGGAGACATACTTTGTGGATTAGGAGATTTCCATGGGTAATTTTGATTGCAGTTTTTGCTGAATGTTCTAAATTTAGAACTTACACTCTATGTAAGATGCAACTCCACTTTTCCAGGGAAAATAGCACTAAACTCAAGTCTTCATTAAGGATAGCATATTTTTCTCTTTACCTGCAGAAAAACCTGTATAATTTAATTTTATTGCTGTGACTTACTCAGTTACCCTGTGGCTATTGTCAATGTGGTCATAACATTAGAACTTATAATGTAATTGGAAACTTAGTATTTTTTTAAATCTCTCAGATTAAATAAATCAAGCCATTAATAGTACTTTTTGATGGTGATGATGGTAATTCAAATATGCTATTAAATTTTATTTTTTTATATAGGTTGACTATCCCTTATGTGAAATGCTTAGAGCCAGAAGTGTTTCAGATTTTAGAGTTTTTTTTTGGATTTTGAATATTTGCATACACTTTCCCAGCTGAGCATCCCTAACCTGAAAATATGAAATCCTAAGTGCTCCAAAATCTGAAACTTTTTTTTTTTTTCTGGTGGTGGTACTGAGGTTTGAACTCAGGACCTTACACACTTGCTAGGCCCAGCCCTTATTGCTTTAGTCATTTTTCAGATAGGGTCTCATGTTTATGCCTGGGCTAGCCTAGACCACTGTCCTCTTATTTAGGTTTCCTGTGTAGCTGGGATGACAGGCCCATGCCATTATACCCAACTTCAGTTGGTTGAAGTGGGTTTTCCAGAACTTTTGCTCAGCCAGGCCCGATTTCCACCTCTTGAGTAACTAGGATTGCAAGTGTGAGCCACTGAACCCAGCTTGAAATCAGAACTTTTTTTTTTTTTTGGAGGTACTAGGGTTTGAACTCAGGCCTCAGGTTTGCTAGCAGGTGCTCTGCCACTTTAGCCACTCCACCAGCCCTAAAATCTGAAACGTTTTGAGTGCCAGTATGACACTTGAAAAATTTCAGATTTTAAACCATTTTGATCTGATTTCAGTTTTTTGCATTCGGAACGCTCACATTGTATTTGCTTTATGATTTACTAGAATGGCTTTTTTTTAAGCACAGAATTTTTTATTGTTCAACTGTACTTTGATCTGTGTTTGTCTTTTACCCAGTTGTTTCTCTTTCAACAGATTAGCAATTTAAAGAAAATTTTAAAAGGAATCTTGGATTATAACCATGAGGTAAGGAATTTTATTTTCCTTCTACTTGAAAGTATTATTATAGGATAGTTTAATTCTTATAACAGTTTCAAGTTAAGGGAAAATTGCCATCAAAATTAATAATCAGTTTGTCTTGCCTGTGTAGTTTCTAGGATGGTGGTTCAAACAACCAGCTATTAGGTGTTAAACAGATGAATAATAGTCTTTCTCATTGTTTTATATGGGTAGTTTCTAGAAGATTATTAATTTATCTTGGATTTTGCCAGATGCTATTTATTAATTCTCTCCTTTCTTCCCTACTTGTGAAGGTAGTTTAGAGCACATGAACTGTTATAGTCAATTTCATTGCCTGCTTGCATTTTATTCCTAGCTAAACCTACTTTGTCTTCTGAATCTATATCACAGTAGCTAGGCAATCCTGGGGGAAAATGCATATGTGGAACCAATTTATTTTACATTTTCATGATCACAGATGTCAAATGGCCACAACATAGCCTAGAAATCATGTTATTTTTCCTGTATGTTTATTTACATTTATACCCATGTTTATACCCATAAAATCTGTCTTCCACATCTAAGTGCCCCTACCATCCAGGCTAGTATGAAAGCTCCAAACCTTGAACTCATTCTATAGTACTACTTTTAATATCATCATCAAGACCTATTAAACCTTCAAAATACAGTTTCCTCCAGCTTTGCTGCCCCCATGTTATACCAAGATGTCATTTGCTCGTGATTAAATTGCTGTAACAATATTAACTGGTGAGTGACTTTATTTTTGCCCTGCTAGTCTTCACTCTTCAAGCCAAGATAATTTTTAAAGATTCCTTCAAGTCTTTCGTGGTTTACCATTACATGCATTGAGGATTAAGTTCATATTTCTTACCTTCTTCACCAGGCACTACCTGACCTCTGTAATCACCTTTTACACTGTTCCACCCCTTAGTACCACAGGCACATTCACCCTGCCTCTGTGCCTCAGATGTACCAATCCCATCTGCCTTGGAGCCTTTATACCTGCTTTGTGGCATGTCTTTCCCTCAGCTGTTGTCAGTGACAGCATGTTTATATGAACTTATTCCCGCCTCTCAAAGAGGCTTTCCTTGGCCAGGGCAACCATTGTCTTTGCCTCTCGGGCTGTCACATAACCCTTGCCATATCCACCGTTCCACAGTCTTATTTCTTGGTTTATTTGGTTGTCTTACCCTCTAATATAATTAGTCATGAATTGAGGTTGGGGTCAGTCCTCCTATATATATATCGTTTGATTTCCTCTGAGTTTTTTTTTTTTTTTTTTCTATTTTTCATGTTGGAGACTTTTCTGAAAAGTTTTAATCCTCCTTGGTGATTTATTGATACTTAAAGGTAAAACACTGTTAAGGGCTGGGGACATGACTCAGGTAGTAGAGCACTTGCCTAGTGAGCATGAGGCCCTGAGTTCAAACCTCAGTATCACCAAAAAAAAAAAAAAAGTGAAACGCTGTAAAAAGCTGATTAGAATCTGAGTGGGGGGCTTTTTTTAGTGGTAAATTGCACTGTAGGGCTCTAAGGCAGAGACCTTCCTATTTGTTTGCATATGTCATTTCATTTGAGACCTAAGCCAGGTGCAGTGTGGCTTACGCCTATAATCCTAGCTAGTTAGGAGGCAGAGATCAGGAGGATCATGGTTCGAAGCCAGTCCAAGTAGTTCAGGAGACCCTATCTCAAAAATATCCAACACCAAAAAGGGCTGGTGGTGTGGTTCAAGAGTGCTTGCCTAGCAAGTGAGAGGCCTTGAGTTCAAATCCCAGTAACCACCAAACAAAGTCATTTGGGACCTGTTTCTCCATAAAGGAATCCTCCATTCTCTTTTCTGATACAGGTGTCTTGGCCACCAGTGTTTCATAGTCAAATGGAGTGAGGGTGGCTAGGGGAAATCTTACTGGGGGCATGGATTTTTAATTTCAGCCTTTTCTGGTTTCCCTTAGTCCAGACTCTTCTCATTCTAGTTCATCAGAAAGCAAACATCCAGTTGCCGTTGGAGCAGTAGAAGGATCATTACTAGAGTTTTTTCCTCGGTGTACATACCACATATCAGATTAGGGACTAAGTTGCTGTGACACAGATAATTACAACTTAGGTATGGGAGGTAAAAATAGAAATTGGGAGTGAAATTGACAAAATGGCTCTGTACTTGGGAATGAGTTTCTAGTGATAACAAACTAATCTTTGTCAGCTATTGTTTTTGGTCAGGTAAATGTGAACGGAGTTGTAACATTCTTATTTCTATTCAGATTTTAGGACAGCAGATTAATGACTTTACTCTTCCTGATGTGAACCTTATTGGGGAACATTCTGATGCAGCTGAGCTTGGAAGGATGCTTCAACTCATTTTAGGCTGTGCTGTGAACTGTGAACAGAAGCAAGGTAATTCATTGGAAGTTAGTGTATGTGTTTGAAATGATGAAGGAAAGTATATACTGTTTATTTTATATAGAGAGCATCAAGACACATCTTTGTAAGGCTATTCATTTTCTACAGTTTTGCTAGTAATTTGTTTTCAAGCTTAAATGAGTTTTGCAATTTAGGATAAATTTGAATATGTATTTTTTTTCCCTTTATGCAAGACCACATAATTCTTTGAGTAGATTTTTTTTTTATTGTTATTTTTGGTGGGATTGAGGTTTGAACCCAAGTAGATTGCTTTTAAGGCATTGCATATGATGAAGTTTTTGTTAATTGGGCAAAGTCCACCTATTAGTTTGGAAAAAGAAAAAGCAGCAATGCACAGAGTTTAATGGATATTCAGATCAGCCTTCTTAGTATACATCTATAATAGATAGCTTAGATACTTTGCTGTGGAGAAAAGGGAGGGAAGAATATCATTATGTATGTAGTCTCTAAATAATAAAAATAGATTTGGAACTGGGTTTCCTACCTGTGTAAATCTGCTAGATATTCTTCCACAGAAATCACCTTAGTGACTTTTTATTTACTTATTTTACTTAATTTTTTTTCAGTACTGGGGATTGAGCATAGGTCTTTATATATGTTAGGCTCTATAACTGAACAACACCCTCAGCCCCCCTCAGTTAAATTTTACCATGACTGTCTTTTAAAGGAAAAGAATAGTATTATATATTTTCAAGATTATTTTATTCCACTTATTTTAAAATTAACTTTTAGGAATGCTGCAGGATATTTCATATTAATATACTGTGGCAAGAAAACTTTGAAATTTAAAGGACCTTTTGGAATTCATTTTCACCAAGATGGATAAAGACCCTTAAAGATTCCTTTGTATTGCCATCTAAAATACCAATTTTTAAATTCCCAGAACTGAATTGATCCAGTATATTGTATTATTACCATTATTATTGAAATATTGATTGATTTATTAACTAGTTCAGTTTGTAAAATGGCAGTTTAGGAAATATTTCTGTGCTTGCATAAGAGCATTGGCTCAGTGACCAGTCAGCCTGTTTTCAATATGGTTCTATTCTTAGAAAGTATGGAGGGTGGTGGTCAAATTACTGTCAGCATTTTAGTGCTTACCTCATAGGTTTATTTTGGTGACTAAATGAGATAATACATGTAAACGTACAGCATCTTGCACATAGTAATGGTTCAAACAGTGTTAATTACATTTTAAAACATTAATTTAGTTCAGTTATTTATTGTGGGATTTTTATGAACTTTCAGGAAGCCACAATTTTGAAAATGTCAGGTATTTAATGATTCATATGTATTCTATGAATATAAGAAGTGTAAATTATTAAAAATCATTACATTAGACTTAGATGGTATTTGTACTAATTTGAATTTAGCTTGCAGATTTTGTTTGAAAAATATTAGTACTTTTATGTGTATAATAAATCCAAGGTGACAGGTTTTGAACACCAGCTTTGATATATAGATACTAAGGTAGTTAACTTTTTTAGTTCATCTAATCTTAAATAGCTTTTCTATTCCCTTTTTTGACAGCTAGTCATTTTCATGGAGATCACTTGTTTTTTAAAAAATACTGTTCAAATTTATCATACATAAATTAGACAAATTTAACCTTAAATTTAACTTTCCCTCTTCTCCAGTTGATTTATTTCACAAATATTTATTAAAATGATAAATTATGAGCTAGGAACACAGTGGTAAACAAAACAAGACACAATTCTTGCCCTCGGGGAACTTGTGGAGGGAAAAAGCATTAAATAATAGCACAAAACTCATATACTCAAAGAAATAGCAAGTGCTCTGAAGGTGGCATGTCATGGAGGCTGTAGTCTAGACTTGGGGCCAGGGAAGTTAGTAAACAAAACTATAGAAGATAGTGAGTTAAGACTAGTTAAAGTAGTAGTAGAAGCTCAGTGTAAGAGACCCAGGTTACCTTCTAGGGATTTAAAAACCCCACAAAACTATCATTGGAGTATAGTGAGAAAGGGAAAGGTAGATGGGCTATTCTGAAAGTGATGACAGCATGGTACTTTACTGTTGCTTACAATTGAAGAAGGTGGGTTTTTTGGTTTTGTTTGTGATTTTTAAGATCAGAGATGCTGTTTTGTTTGTGTTTGTTTTGTTGTTCCCCCTGACCTGAAAATTCAGAACAAATTTCCATTAATTTGTTCTTTGTACTATTTTTGGTATTCTAGTAATAAAAGTTTAATAATAGTCAACATTGTTTTCTTGAAACTATAACTAATTTTATTGGTTTTACTAAACAATGTATTTCTTTTTCTCTAGATCCATTCCTTTTAAATTTTATCATGCCATGCTCATGTACTAAATTTTAGTTTGTTTATTCAGTTTAGCTCAAGAATTTATACAGAATTTTCTGCATTTGTAGTCTTTGTATATTACTAAAATGTCTAATAAATGTTCTGTAAAAGCTTTAAGAGAAATTAAATTTAAGCGTATGCTTTGATTTTAAAGTGGATGAGGAATCACTTAGCTATAGCTCGTTGTTCTTCGATAATGACAACTGTTAGAATGTTCATCAAGTCCTGGAATTCTACTTAAGACATAGGGGTCCTTGGAAATGCACAGCTGCTAAGTGTTGGCTCACCATATTAATTACAGAGTAGAAACGAGATAAAAATGCTACCTTCCACCATATTCCTATGGAAGAGAGTCATGATATTTATTGAGCGTCTCATATAGACTAAGTGTGTTGTGTGTGGACATCTAGATTTAGTTTGTCCCCTGAAATTGCATAAATGATGAAAACTTTTTGAGCAAGATTTTAACATCTCACTTACCCATATTTGGGATTCTCTTTGATCTTGGAAATACAGTAGAGAGCTAAGAATTCAATCACATAGATGACTTGTTAAGTATTAGCTGTCACTGTGTATGTATGATATAATGTGTGGCTCACCGAAGTGCCTCTCCCTCTCTAATTTTGGATGAGATACTCAGTGTGTTTCCTTGTCTGCAGAATGAGTGCAAAATTGTGTAGTCAGTAGGAGTAAATGAAATTGCATCTGTGTTTCTGCTTTGTGATCCCTTAAGCACTATATTGAACAAGTGTTGGGGGGGACTTTGTCTTTAGATGTTTCCAATTAGAAGTGAAGAGCAATGGGGGCATGGCTTAAGTGTTAGAGCACTAGGTCCTGAGTTCAATCTTGAGTACTTTGGGAAAAAACAAAAAAGGAAAAAGAAGTGGAGAGCAACTGCTGAGAGCTTTGACTCAATATAATTTTATCTTCACTGACTTCTGTAATTGGGACAAATGAAGTAGTGGCAAATTTGAAAAAGCAAACTTAGCAGAGTACACACCAAATAATATTTACTTAGGGTCTCCCTTCTGTTTGGTATTCTACTAAGCACTAAGAGAACAAAAAGTACTTTTTATAATGTAGGAAATTGAGACTTCAAATAAATATTATATGACTTGCCAAGATTTCTTACTTGTGAGAGGCTAGGTGAGGACAAAAATCCATGGTTCTTCCACATATAACCTTAACACTGTTCTAAAGCGTACTATAAATTTTAGACAGCTGAGATCAAGGGTAAACTCTCTTACATAGCATGCCTCATTCTCCAGTGCTGCCTTATAGATGTGCACCCAATAATCACATGTAATTGTATTTGGGCTTTAAAAATGTGAAAATCATGTTTTATTTAAAACATTATACATTAATGTAGTTCCCATTATCATTTTATCATTTAGCATTTTACGGTGTTCGCGGGGAAGGGCCTTGACGTGGCAACACCGCTTCTTAACTAACGCTTCCCCTCTCACACCTACTAACGTTCTGACCTCCCGCCACTTCCTTCACATCCAGTAGGCTGCCATTAAGTTTCCCTTCCTCATGCCAATGCCACTGCTGCTTTTCTTCCATATTCACAGTCTTTTATTTTGAGGGCTGGTCAGTCATCTTAGCTATACTAGTTTCTGTGTTTGATGCCTTTCAACAGAACATCAAAAAACACTCTCTTGCTATATTTCAACACATAGGGTAATTGTCATTAAGAAAACAAAATAAGCTGGGTGCTGGTGGTTCACACCTCCAATCCTAGCTACTTGAAAGGGTAAGATCAGAAGGATCATGGTTGAGGTCAGCCTGGGGAAATAGTTTGAGAGACCCCATCTCTAAAATAACCAGAGCAAGATAGACTGGAGGTATGGCTCAAGCAGTAGAGCTCCTGCTTTGCAAGCAGGAAGCCCTGAGTTCAAGCCCCAATACAACCAAAAATAAAGAAAAAAGAAAACAAAAGATTGAGTTCAGGCTAAAGGAATTCCTTATTGCTCCAGTACTAATGAAGTTATTACATATTCCAAATGCATGATTCTCTTATGAAAAGATTACTTTGACAATTTCATGGTAGGACACTTTCATATTAGTACTTGTAGGGGTGAGAAAATTGTTTTGTGTTTGCTTTTTGCATGGGATCAGAGAGGCAAGTTAAGGCTAAAACTTCATTACCTTTTAAAATATTTCTTATTAAATTTATCATATTTGTTGGAATCCACTTGACCTGCTAACTTTGTTGTGCTCAAGCCACTTTTGTCATCATTGTTGAATTTAGGAATAATGAAATCCACTTCCAAAGCTGTTGAGAAGGAAAGAAGTTATTGTTTCCAATATTGTGATAATAATGCTAGATCTTTCTCTTTTTAGCCATGGTGAGAATGAGACTGATACAGTTGCTGCTTTAGCATAGTGGAGATGTACGGCATCATTTTAAAAGCCCAAGATTATGCAATATTTATAGTATCAATGTCTTTTTTTTCTTTTTTTGGTGATCCTGGGGTTTGAACTCAAAGCTTCATGCTAGCTAGACACCCACCCTTAATTTCTATCTTAAATTCATCTTAGGTCTTGGTCCCAAGCAGGTCAAAGTTTCATTAAGTTTTTTCTCTTCTGTAGTAGAAAATATTGGACTGGAGGCATGGCTCAAGCAGTAGAGCTGAAACCCCGAGTTCAAACCTCAATACTTCAAAAAAAAAAAAAAACTAGTAGAAAATACTGAGTTACACAAGTTCAGTCCTGAGATGTCCCATAAAACACAAACCTCAGAATATTTTTTAAATGATGTAGCAAAGAATAATGTGAAAGACACTGTTTAGATTTTTTTTAAATATGAGGAGTCTTTTCCACTTTGGCTTTAGGCTTTACTATTTCATCTATATTGATGCACAGCACACACTTACTGATGCTGTCTTCCCTGATCTTTAGCTTCACCCTCAACTATAAGAAGTGGTGAGAGGGAAAAAAATGTTTTCAGGAAAGATGACTACTGTGACTTTCAGCCTTTGCTTTACTGTGGCACTATATAAGGCACATTAGCCATGTCTGAGGGATTCCTAGGAGAATCAAAACACAGGAAACTACTTATAAGAATTCATGAAGTGTTAGCCTTCACTCCTGATTGTCTTTAACTTGAACAGTGACATTCTAGATTGTTCTTGTTTGCAGAGTACATTCAAGCCATTATGATGATGGAGGAGTCTGTTCAGCATGTTGTCATGACAGCCATTCAAGAGGTACGTTGGAGCTTTGTACATAGTTTGTGACAAACTAAAGGAAAAAACACAAGTTAAATAATAGTACAAATTTAAAAAGCAATTCTACTCATTTTTTGAGAACTTTTTTCTTTCTTTTTTTTTTTTTTGCCATGCTAGGGATTGAGCCCAGTGCCTCCTACATATTAAGCATGTGCTCTACCACTGAGCTATCCTCCCACCCTGAAAACTTTTTTACTTTACATTTATGAGAGCACTTGTTTCATTTTTATCTTTAAAATGATACTTAGTTAAAACTCTTTTTTCACTTAATCTTAAATGCTTACTTTCCAAATACAGAACTATGCCCTCATTTTTAAAAATGCTCTTAATGAACTTGAAATGGTAGACTAATTCCTGAAGCCTTATTAATGAGTAATATCTATCATAAACCAGCAATCTACCTCATATTTATCTATTGGTTTCCTTTTTAGCAAAAAAATAGGTGTTCAACTCCAGCCAAACCCAAAGTAATTTCTAGTTGAATATTTATTTTAAATGCAAAACATAAAATGTAGACTAATAGCTGGTCAATCGCAACTGATGTAACAATCTTTTTAGTTATAAAAGCAATGGAGAAAACCCTTAAAGGAAATATCAAATTGTATATGGGACAGGAATATACATACAGCTAACAAAAAAATACAAAAGACAAATATGAAAAATGCCAAATGTGAATTAAGATGAAGTTGCAGGTTTTTTCGTTGTTGTTCAGTACTGGGGTGTGAACTCAAGGACTTCTTGCTTATTAGGCAGGTAGCCTTCCACTTGAACCACACTGCCAGGCCAAGTTGTGGTTTTTCTGCATCTTTTTTGCAATGACTTCTGACACCAACTACCCAGACTTGGGCTGCACTGTGTGTTTAAGGGCATTGTCCCCCATAATACTGCCCTCACTTCGGAGACCAGCTGCTGTTTCAGGAATCTCCAGGCCACCCTTCCATCTGACCAACTGGCTTAAAATTCAGTGGTTCCCATTACCTTGTTAAGTTCTGTAATTCACTAGAATGATTCAGAAGTTGGGAATGACAATGGTTCTGTTATGGAAAATGAATATAAATAAAATTAAATGACTTTTTGAATTTTAAAGTTTTTGTTAAGCCAAAAAATACATAGGATTGAGGTCTGGGAGGGTCCTAAATGCATAGTTTCTATTGTCTCCTCCCTACAGATTCAGGACTTGTTACCTCCTGGCATATCATAATGTGACAATAGACAGAGTATTGCCAACCAGGGAAGCTCATCTAGGTTTTTATGTCCAGTTTTAAATCTGTTGAACTCACCATAAGAAGAGGACTAAAGCAGAAAGGTGTAAAATGGAGGGGATAAGACAATTTGGGATACAGTACACATTTACATAGGAATGTCATAATGAAACTGTATAGATACATTAAACAACAAAAATGTCTTTTTTTTTTCCCCCTCAAAAATGGAGGACAGGAACTTAAATCAGGTCCTGTTTGGAGGTTGGTGGTAGGAGGAGTATATAAGGAAAGGGTGTAGGAGAGTGAATATTGTAGAAATATTACGTGGTATGTATGAAAATAGAAAAATGAGACCTGTTGAAACTAATTCTAAGAATGGGGGAGGGAAGACAAAGGAGAATGATGGAGGGGGTGAACTTAACTAAGATACATTATAAGTACTTTTGTAAATGTCACAATGTATGTACCCCCAGTACTACAATAATATGATAAAAAATTTTTTTTAAAGGAGTATAAGTTGGTTCATCTTTTTTAAAATATTATACTCTTTTGTATCAGATTAGGTTTGACATAAGTATTAAAATAGCAAAATGACAACTCCCCAAGTATAATACCAGTTTAATTTGCATGTAAGTGGTCTTGGGTTGGTGTGGAGGCTCTTTAGATACCAGTGACCCAGCTTTCCTTCAGTAAGACTGACCTAATAAGGTCTGTGCCATTCATGCACAGTTCTCACCAAGTGGTTCAGCTATGTCTTCTCAAGCTCCATCTCTTTTTTTCACAGTCAACCATCAGAAAGGATGGGAGTTCTTTCAGTAGACTTGTAGGAATTCTCACCTCCACCAGTCAGATATTTATTACTCAAATAGCTACACAGGGAAACTGGAAAATGTGCTCCTTATTCCTGGTACTTGCCAACAACATGTAAGGAAGGATTCTGTCACTAAGCCAGAACAGGAAAAAGAAAAGGGGGCACTAACCATTCTACTTTACTGTAATGGATCCTGTAATTCACTTTTAGAGACTTACCCTAAGAAATGTGAAATGCAAGACATGTAATAATAATAGTAACAGTAAACATTTTCTAAAACTTACTATGTGCTAGATAGTATTGGTTCTCGCTAAGCAGTGTCTTATCAGTTAACTCATTTAAAATTGACTACAATTATAATCACCAATGAATATATCCTTAAAAATGGTTAAGATGGCAAATTTTGTGTTACAAATATTTTATCACAATAATAAAATGAAGAAAAATCACTAAAATCCTGTGAGTTATGTGTTATTTTCTCTTTTTATTAAAAAAAAAACCCAAGCCATAGAGTTTGAGGAAGTAGTGACAACTCAGACCTAAGCAGTCTGAATCCAGATACTATTCCTATAACCATTTTCTGGTGCTGTAACTCCTCTAGAATGAAAATATTATCACTAGCCTAAATACCCAGCAACAGGGGGATAGATAAATAATGGTGTAATATATAGGCATGTTATATAGGCATATTTTTAAAAATATTTAATGACGTAGGTGAAAGTGCAGTATTTCAGACTAAAGAAGGTAGGACACATAAACAGTATGATTCCATTTGTTTAAAAATTGAGATGAGTGAAAACAAACTTGCCACAATATTAACTCTCTAAATTGTTGGATATTTTTTACTTTTTTAATATTTTCCAATTTTTGTGTAGTCACAGGTATTATATCTATAACAAGAAAACTTTTTTTACATTAGTTTGAGAAGAATTAATTTAGAATGTAGCACATATGTACAGGAAAGCAATGCAAGTAAACTCCCTGTATAGCTATCCTTATCTCAACTAGCAGAAACCCTTGGTCCTGCCTATTATTGCTTATACTATCTCCTCAAAAAAATTAGAGATAAGGGCAAAATAGTTTCTGCCTGGTAGCAAGGAGGGTAGGGGGCGAGAGGGAGGGGGTGGGGGAAGGGGGGAGAAATGACCCAAACATTGTATGCACATATGAATAAAAGAAATTTAAAAAATAATGTAACTGAATGATTTTCATTCCATGAATCTAAAGGAATTATGTAAAAATTATGACCAAGAATGGGCATAATAATGTTTATCAAGTTTTTAACAAATTTATGCTAAATTATGTTAATTTAGCAAAATTAACAAAAATACTGCATTTCCACTGATAAACTAGTATTTAAATTATAGTACCTTTGTCTGATGGAATATTATATAGATGATAAAATGTGTAAACTATGTTTAAAAGGATACCTTACAACAGTGAAAAAACTTTTTTTAATAAATTTTATTTTAATTAGGATATATTCATTGTAGAGGGGGGAATTCATAGTGACAATTCCAAATAGGCTTATATTGTACATTGGTTAGGTCAGCCCCACCGTCTCTCCCCCTCAACCCCCTTCGTGCCCCATTTAAAGCAGTTGCAAGAGGTTTCTTTGTTCTATTTCATATAAGTACATGAAGTCCATCAACCATATACCCTCACCTTAATCTCCTTCATTCCCCCTCCCCCCTCCCAGAGGTACCCCTCCCATACATACTGTATCTATTTTACAGTCCTGTCTTTCATTATTAATGTTTAAGTCAATGTATTCTATGTGGTGAATATACTTTGCTTTGGTCTATTCAACCCCTTCCATTGCTCTCCTTTACCACTCATCCCCCATTTTTCAGCAGCTTTTAACACATACCTTATATCCTCTACTTTCACAGATGTTATATTTTATGATATTGTTGATGCTCTATCATTCTCTTCCTCCCCATCTCTGCCTCTTTTTAAACGTTGAGTGAAATGGTGTATAAAATTGTATGTATAATAGGATCCCAATTCGATTTTAAAATAGATATGTCTATTATGTGCATTTTCATTTAACAAATATTTATTGATTATTAAGTATGCACCAGGTGCTATAGCAGACACTGTGGGTACAGTTGTGAAAAAGATAGACAGGAGAGGTCTCCCTCTCACAGGAACTGGTTAAACAAGGATTCAAACAGTGTGTGAAAAAAATGCCATGATGGGGAAGATACAGGAACACCTGAAGGGAGTGTCTAAGACAGTTTTAGGACTCTAGGCAAAGCTTCTCAGAGGAATGAGGCTAAATACTGAAGAACAGAGTGAAGGTAGGTAAGGGAGGTACAAAATTGTTCTAGAGTCCAGGAGGCAAGAGAAAAAGCAAGACCTGCATGACATGTTAGAGGAATTAAAAAAAAATCTTGTAAATGTTGTGGGGAGTGCTCAGAGATGAAACAGGAGATAAGGTTATTGGGACATCATGCAACTGTGTTAGTCATTTTAATTTTGGAAACTAAGGAATATATTCTAAGGAGAAACTACATGGAGGTTAGTATTTTGAGAAAATCCATGCAGTAAGAAGGTTAGTTACATAGGAGGAAAAAAGGCTTGAAAAGGGGAGACCTGTTAACAAGACCTTAGTAATTACATAGTAAAGATGGACAGAAGCCTGGACTAGGTCATCTCAAGAAAAGAAAGAGAGAAGGGACTGACTTGACATAAGTGGATGTGGTTACCGGTGGTTCTCAGGACAAAGGTAGGTCAGATGAGTGGATTTTTTAAATCAAAGGACTGTTGTAAAATAAACCCTTCATGTAGCATAACGTTTTCAAGCTTGTCAGTACTTTGTTCCTTTTATTGTTGTTGGTGGTGGGTTTTTGAGACAGGGTTTCACTATGTAGCCCAGGCTGACCTAGAACTCAGGATCCTCTGCCTCAGGCTCTTGAATGCTTTGATTACAGGCATCCACTACCAGGCCTGACCTTTGTTACTTTTTAGGGCTTAACCTTATCCCCTTTATCAGTTGATGGGCATTCAAGTTATTTCCACCTGATGGCTAGTATGAGTAATAGTTCTGTGAGCATGAGTGGCCACACTCATTTTCAATACCTGTTTTCAAATCTTTTGGCTATCAATAGAAATGCTCAACTTGCAATGGTTTCAGTTTAGGAATATTCAACTTTAGGAAAATGTAATACACATTGAGTAGAAACAGGTCTTTGGATTTTGAATTTTAAATTTTAATTTTTTCCTGGTCTACAATTGTAACTGATCCTTCAAACATTGTTGGTGATTGCTGAGTGGGAGACAGCATAGACATACTGCTACCCAACCAGCTACATCTGAAATCACAAGGGTTCATGCCAAAATTCACCAGTGTGCTGTGTCACTAAGTATGGTATTCAGTAGGTTAGGTGTATTAAATGCATTGTTGACATACAAAAAATGGAGGATACAGCTTGAACCATAAACTCTACTGTGATTAGAGCGCAAGCAATCAGGTTAATTCCAGAAATGAAACTGCTTACATGTATCGTGTAGCAATTCTAGCATTCAACAATTTGTTGAGTATACTCAAAAAGTGTTTGCTATGCAAGCTAAGCATATGCCCTATCTTACATTTCCACCAAAGCAGGTGTGCAAGTTTCAAGTTTTCGTTCGTGTCAGCTTACCCACCACTTATTACTGTCCATTTTTTAATAATAGTATCCTGGTAGGTATGATGTAATATTTTACTGTGGCTTTTGATTTGCATTTCCTAATAATTAATGATGCTGAGCTTCTTTTCATGTCTTTACTGGCCTTTGGGGAAAAAAGTCTATGTAAGTTTATTGATATGTGTGTGTGTGTGTGTATGGGGGGGTGGGTGCTGGATGGAACCTAGAGCCTCATACCTGCTAGGCCAGAGCTGTACTGCTGGGCAGTATCCCAGCCCTGAGAAATGTCTATTCAAGTAAACAGTAGTGTCTAACTATTTAAACACTGGTAGGTAGAAGCCACACTAAAGGGAAAGATAGAGGTTGAGATATAAACAAGAGGAACAGGTTCTCTTGAGAACCTGGAAAGAGACTGAAGTTGAAGACAAAACCCAAAGCGGCCAGAGTTGGCAGGATTCACTTGGAATGGGCCAAAAGAGCCCGTGTGCGTAATGTCAACACGAAGATGAAGAGTAAGAAACAGAAAGGCAGAAATGTATTAATTTATAGGGTTAGACGGTTATTGGGAAAATTCTTATCTGGAAGCAAAGTTTCTGATGAAGAATGTGGGGAATTGGTGAGATTTGAGAAGTAGGAAAGGGTCGAAATAATCACTAGGGAGAATACAAAAGGTGCTGGCTAGGGAAACATAACTATGCTAATATTTTTTGAGCCAGGCTTTTGAAGGTCAAGTCCCGAGTGAGGAAACTTTATTAACAGTAACACCAGTCTGATAAAACAGTTTGGGGGAGAGTTTTATTGTTCCAGCTTTTTTTTTTATTCCTTTTTCTTCAGTACTTCACAAGACTCAGTGGATATATGACTAAAGAGACAGAGCTGTTGGATTGAACTAGACTCTGGTTGGTTTGTTCTTGGATTGAGATTTTTGCCAGTAAGATATTTGTAAGAAACTATGAGGTAAGATAGTAGAGAATATTGATGAAAGTCATTGAAGTAATAAGCCATAAAGTCTAGGTTAACACTCTTGGGGATATACCCAAAAGACTGTTACTCCAGAGGCACCTGCCACATCCATGTTTATGCGCACTATTCACAAAAGCCAAGTTAGAAACAGCCGTAAGAATACTGTACCCACCACTGAAACCGACATGGATTAGCGAAAAGTGCTAGTCATATACACATGGAATTTATGCCCAGCCCATTGAAGAAGAACGAAATGTATCATTCCGCTGGTAAATGGGATGGAATGGATAACATCATTCTGAAGTTGAGGTTAAGCTTGCGCTCAAAAAAACCAAAAATCCGTGAATGTCTCTTCCACTGCATTATTGGACATTTATGATCAAGGGCAAACACAACAATGGATTGGACGTTAGAGCCACTATGATAAGAAGCGAGGAGAGCACACAAGGAGGGGTGAGATAGATAAGACACCCCAACAAAACTAGCTAGCATTTGTTGCCGCTTAACGCCAGAGAGAAGACTAAAGCAGATCACCTCAAAGCAACTGAGGGTCCAATAGGAAAAGGGAGAACGGGCGTATCCTAGGCAAAGGTCTAGCATCAAAAAGAATTTAACCTAGGACGGTAACACCCACGCCCACAGGAAGATCAATGTGAGTCAAGCTCCCTGTATAGCTTATCCTTATCATCAAGCAGCAAACAACCCTTCTTCCTTCCTATTCATTGCTATATATCTCTCTACAACAAGAGTTAGGAAATAAGGGCAAAAATAGTTTCTGGCTGGGATAATTGGGGGGCGGGGAGAGGGAGAGGGCGGAGTGGGTGGTAAGGGAGGGGGTGGGGGCAGGGGGGAGAAATGAACCAATCCTTGTATGCACATATGAATAATAAAAGAAAAATGAAAAAAAAATCTAGGTTAAATAGGAGAAGGGAATTGGTTAAACAAATGACAAACCATGGAATCTAAAGTAGGGAGAAGGAGCTTTGCAGGGATAAGATGATCATGCTAGCAGAAGGAAGAGAAGTAAACTTCAGGCAGGTCAAACCAATAATGTTCACTACAAAGTGTAGGGAAAGGAAGGATGAGAGTGTATACAGGATGGATGAGCTATGACGGGAACAGGGAGGAGGAAAAGGAGGACAGGGTTTGGGAGCTGAGTAAGTCCAGGGAGCATGCCCCACCAGATGTAATCGAATAAGAGAAGGTTGTATTCAGAGGGAGATACTTAGCTTCTCATTGACAGGTACTGCCGTGTTATTGTAAGGACTAATAATGCAACAATAAGAAAAAAAGGAAAAAGACTGGAAGAAAATACTTCCACTCCTTTCTCCTACACATCTTTGAATTAGATACATTCTGTCTGAGTCTTATGTTACAGTCTTTATCACACAACATTGTATTTGTCTTTGTTTTCAGCAGTACTGGGTTTGAACTCAGACCTTGCTCTTGCTAGGCAGATGCTCCACCACTTGAGCCACTCCACCAGCCCTTATGTTTATCTTTCTTACTTGAACTTTGTTAGACCCTTGGTTGGCACAGATCGCTAATTCTTAATATTTCAAAATTATAAAAGTGATTATTTCTAGATAAAGAATGATTTTTTGTTTTGAACATTTTCTTTTCTATAGTAGGTACTGTTTTTTTTTTCAATTAGAAGAGAAGTGTTTTTAAATTTTTTTCATTAATATTCTCAAAATAATTAAAGATGGAAGCTGGTATTTTTCACTCCCTCTGAGATTTCCCCCTAATTGTCCCAGGGACATTCCTGCTCTTCTCATTAAACTGAGTCAGAGCAGTGGTTCTCAAACTCCAGTGTGCATCAGATCAAATAGAGGACTCCTGAACATGCCAGCCTTACCCTACATGTTCTAACAAGTTACCAGGCAGGTCCAATGCTGTTGGCCTAAAGGTGTCATGTTGAGAACCACAAATACAGAGACATAGGTACAGACATAGGTACCTATGTCTCTGGAGAATAGGAAATCACAAGATCTCTCAATACAGTACCCCCACATTTCTAGTTGTCTTTCAGGCAGCACATTAGAAGATTGAGGTCATTTGGGTCTGCCCCTGCCATTTGTCTCTCCTAGCCATTCACTCACCCTTTAGATCTTTTCTTTTTGCAATGCAAGGGTGAAAGGAGCTAAGATATGGAGGGGGACAGTGGGTGTATGTATGCTGTCATTAAACATTAGCTAGTTAATTTTAGTACCAGTGTCCATGTTTATTCTTTAGAAATAAATGCACACTTAACATTGTAATTGTTACTGAAAAGTTGTCATTTTTAAGGATCTAGCCACATTTCTAACTGACCTGTTTGTCTTTTAAGTGATAAGTTATACTTGATTCTTAAAGTTGGAGCTTATAGTGCAAATAAGCATCAGAATTCATACCTCCAATTTTACTTTATTTTTTACATAATTTATTGGAGAAGTCACAAACAGAATAGAGTGGAACAGATGTCAAAGATAATTTCAAAACAGTTTTTGTAATATACCATTTTGGACATACTTATAATATTAAATGAAGGCGTTCTCATGGAATGAAAAAAGTTACAGAGTCAGGAATTAATTATAGGAAAAGGAAAATGTTCAATTTACTTCTGTGTTTTCATTTACTTTTTATGTTCCTACAGTGGCTGGATATTAATTTTTTTGCCTGATGGTTGTAATCATTTCACTCTTAATTTCAGCTAATGAGTAAAGAGTCTCCCGTCTCTGCTGGAAATGATGCCTACGTTGACCTTGATCGCCAGGTATACAATTTCACATTGTCTTTATTCATGAAAGATTGCAAAGATAAGCATCATATTAGAACAATGTTTCATTTGAAATTTCCCCCAGAATACTTTGGTATTTTTTAAATATTTTATCTGAAATTTAAGAAATTGAGGTATAATTAACTTTATATAATTTATAGTTAAATGCATTTGTAATTAAAGTCATGTTATATAACCTACTTTAAAACAAATTAATTCCTTTAATTTACTATAATTCTTGTTTTCTAGTCTGATTTTTTTTCTTTTTTTCTTAGTGATGTCTCTATGCCACATTTAACACAAGTATCACTTAATAAAATGCTACTAAGTATACTGTCAGTTTTTATGTTCCTGCTATTCTGGGACATGCCTTACAGTGTATGAACAAAAATATTTTGTATTCATTGTCTTCTCTCATTTCTTTCCCAGGGTTTCAAAGTGTTTTATGGGAAAATATATGTACATGATGTAATTTTAACCCAAGCTGTAATTGTCTTTCTCTTACTTTGTTGTGTTTATTTTTAAAGTTGTTACTTTGAATGCATTTTTTTTTTTTGTATCTTTACTACATAGAGATTTGGTCATATTAAAGAAACAAAAATTTTTCAGTCAGATTTTCATTCTTTGCTAACCTAGGGTTTGTAATAATGATAGGATACAACCTGAAAATGTGTGGCTAATGGGAGAATAAATAACAAAACTCTTTTCTTTTAAAAATGGTGATATGTAAATTAGCATAAAGATAAAAAACTTGCATTGAAATGCACTCTATTTAACAATTAAAACCTCATTCTTATTACATGTTTTACCAAAGTAATATTTATAATTCATTAAAAGACTCAATTATCAGGAACCAAGTAGTCTGGATAGAAGAATTTGTGCAAGAAAACTTGATGTAGGAAAAGAGCCAAGTTCAAGGTTGGTGGAGTGGCTCAAGAGGTAGAGTGACTGCCTAGCAAAAGCAAGGCCCTGAGTTCAAACTCCAGTACCGCCAAAAAAAAAAGCCAAGCTTAAAGGACAGGAAAGATAAGACTTAGGGCTAAGGAAATTCACAATTAAAAGTGTCTTTTTGTAAGTCTTACAGGAGGGTTCTTGATTCTCTTTTTTCCTCCTCTTCTATCCCTCAAGAAATATAAGAGGAGAAATGTTTTAAATCTGTGTTGCACATGTGTAGTTATTATCTCCATTTCATGTTGAAGTATTTCGTGTATCTTTTTGTTTCTAATCAGTTGAAGAAAACTACAGAGGAACTACATGAAGCTTTGTCAGCAAAGGAAGAAATTGCTCAAAGATGCCATGAATTGGATATGCAGGTAAGAGGTCTGCTCTCCTTACAGCCACACGTTCTGTATATTGCCACAGTTTGACTATAGTGCAACTCTAATTAGATGAAAGGAAAAAAAAGTTAGATTTCTAAATTTTTTTCTACTACTACTTTCTAATAGTAGGCTGAAGAAAGATGTTGATTTCCTTTTTTTTCTGCAACCCCACTAAATTGATAATAAATGAATTAAAATGGTGCAAACTGACAAGAAAGTGAGAGACAGAGATGTCAGCATGCATTAGTCTTCATGGTATACTAGTAAATGGGCTTTCAAAAAGGGTGAGAGACTTTTCAAAACCTGGATTTTAATGTTTGCCAGTTTCCATCCAGTAAGTGCTCTTATAGCTCTGTTTCAAGTTACTGATGGTTTAACAAGCAGCTTACAAGATGCTTAATATTTAACAATTGACTTGCATATATCCAGCTCCCAACACATAGTCTTCATCAGCCTCTGAAAGCCAAAAGGCAGCTGGAAAAGTGACAAATGGCTAAAAGAGTAAAGATTGCAATGCCCAGGATAGAGGGGGTTGTGGGGGCTGTTATGGAAGAACCCCAGAGAGACCCAGATAGGATGGAAGATTGAAGTGAGACTGAAACTAGAGATATAAAATAGTTTAGCCCCTCAATTGTGTCATCCATTATGGATAGAACCAAAGCCAGGTTCCAAATCAGAGTTTTTGTCTAAAGAAATCAAGCAAATGGGGGCTGGCAGTGTGGCTCACACGGTAGAGTGCCTGCCAAGCAAGCGTGAGACCCTGAGTTCAAACTCCAGGACTGCCAAAAAAAAATTAAATGAAAGTATGAGAGTTAGAGGGAGTTTAGCATTGTACGGTAAATTCCCTTTTAATTTGGTCTTTCTGGGCTCCCTGGTGTAGATAAGGCTAGCTTCTTGTTGGAGTCATCCTTAAGTGAAGCCCAAGATACAGCACTTCAGTTACTGATTCTTAACTGTAGGGAAAACCTGCATTGCAGAAGGGAAAGGGTCCAGGCAAACAGAAAACTAGCCCTACAGGAAGCTGAGAAATTTGAAGGAGTTGGAGAGATTTTTCTTTTCAGTCTCTTTAAATCTTCAATGACGATGTTGCATCTATGAAAGGACAAGATGCCTTTTTTAAGGTTGGGGTTTTAAAAAGGAAAGATCAGAGGGTTGGGTGCAGTGGATCATGCTTGTAATTCCAGCTACTCAAGAGTTAGAGATTGGGAGGATCGAGGTTTAAAGATAGCCCAGACAAAAAGTGAGAACTACATCTCAACAAACAAGCTGGGCGGGGTTGATCACAACACTAATCCCAGCTATGTAGGAGGCCTAGCCAGGAAGATCACAGTTGAGGTTTCCCCTTCTCTGCAGCAAAAACTATGAAACCCTACCAGAAACATAACTAAAGCAAAAAGGGATGGGGTGTGCTAAAGTGGTAGAGTACCCACATAGCAATCTCAAGGCCCTGAGTTCAATCTGTTGGGCTACCCAAAAAAAGAAAAATCAGAGATCAAGACTTAACTGAAATCAATTAAAAATAGAATTGTTGCCAGAAGCCAGTGCCTCACTCCTGCAATCCTAGCTACTCAGGAGGCAGAGATCAAAGCCAGCCCCAGGCAAATAGTTCCTGAGACCCTATCTCAAAAAAAACCCATCACAAAGGAAGGGCTGGTGGAGAGGCTCAAGGTGTAGGCCCTGAGTGCAAACCCCAGTACCACCAAAGGAAAAAAAACATTGTCAAACAATTTCATGGAATAAAGTTGAGGAAATCTCTTACAAATAAGATGAAAAGCAAGATACAAGACATTTTGTCTATCTAGAATTTACTTGAGAATGAAGGCGTGGTGGAGATGGAGAATGGACAGAGGTGCACAAAGGACCTGGTGGCCATGTTTGGGTGCACACACATACAGAGGAGGCATTTCACTGCAGGCCTAGGACTTGGTCATGATGGTGGATGTATGCAGAGAAAGTGTAATCACAGCACACTTATTGAATGCTTACATAGTTGTAATGTAAATTTTTAGAGTTTAGCTATCAAATGCTGAGAATTGCAATAATAAAAAGTTCATTTTTACAATAAGATATAAATATCCTTGATAGTGTAAAGTTAAAGTTTTACCCCAAGATTGGCAAACTACAGCCTGCATTCTGATTTTATAAAGTTTTACTGTGGTACTTGACACAGAAACCTCTCAAGGCCTACAATATTTACTGTTTTGTGTGTTACGCCTAAAAACTTTGCCCGTGCCTGGGAGGATAGAGTGTAAAGTGAATGATAGTGTTGCAAGGATGCTATGAGAAGAGAGTGGAAGCCCCACAACACACTTTCCTGTGCAGAAAATAGTGGTGACACCGCCATAATAAAGTGATTTTTAGTGGAATGAAAACTTTACTGGCTCCTGACATTTAGAATTGTTCTGTAGAGAAACATTGTTGTGAAGGTGAAGGAACAGATGGTGGTGACTGGGAAGTAGAATGGGACAGGAGCAATGTGGGATGGGGAGGGAGAGCCATTGATGTTCTCATCTCACCAAGGAGTCGAGGACCGCATCTATGGTACAGCAGTGAGTGCATAGCTGGCTCCTCCTTGCTATCCAGTCTCAGCTCAAAAACCAACTGACTTGTTTGTCATAAGATATTTATCAAACACTTCCACATGCCAGGCACTACAATATACAGCCGATATTCTCAGGAAGGCCTTCCAGAGTCAGCCACTCTGGTCTCTTATTTTAGCACTCCGCACAGCACGTTTCATTCTAATTTTTGCTTGTATATATTAACTTACTGGTTCAATAGGATTTGTTTTTACGCATATTATGATTTATTTTAAATAAGTAACACATACTAGACCCATACAACAGTGCCTTGCATGCAGTAATATCTTTGTGAGTGTATCACTCATGCATGATGGGGAACTGAGTGAAATGAATCCATAAGTAGCTGGAATTGAGAATATCAGTAGAACTATATTTGGGGAAGGGAGAAACAGCACAAGTCGCTATAATGTTAACATGCCAGTAAGAGTCATCAGATAGTGTTTAAGGTTGATAAATCAAGAAATAATGGCATAAATATTATTTAGAGATATGAAGTAGCATATTTTGACCTATTACATATTACTTAGAGGTATAAACATTATTTAGGATATGCAGTAGTAACTCAAAGCAATAGAAATTAGGAATAGTTAAAATTAGTCTTTGGAGAATGGGAAAGCTCAGTAGGAAGCTACTGATTCTCATTTTAAGTGCCTTTGCCTCGTTTGATTTTTTTCTTAAATCATATTTATATGTTTTAAAATTAGTTTCCTTTTTCTGTGTGTATAAAAAGATTTCTGCCTTATGCATATTGAATTAAAATATTTTAGCAACATTAACTAGTATGATATTTTTTATTTATTTTGCTTTTGTTTGGTTTTTGTAGCATTGGAGCTCAAACCCAGTGCCTTACACATGCTAGGCAAGTGCTCTGCCACTGAGCTACATCCCTAGCCCATAGCCAGGCTGATAATTTCAGAATTAAAGTTTTGTATTAAACACTCGGCCTTCATATAAATTGACCATTCACCAGACTATAAATCAGTTCTCAATAAAATTCAAAGAATTCGTGTCCTACAGGTCACCCTCTTTGATCACTGTGCAGTTAAAAGTAGAAATGAGTAGCAAAGAGGACTGGGCGTGGCCGTACCTATCTCTAATGCAGTTGCTCAAGGTGTAGAGAACGAGTCCAATCCTGGCAAAAGTTAGCTAGAGCCTGTCAGAAACAAGCCTGGTGTGGTGACACATAACAGCTACTGGGGAGGGAAGTTGGCAAGATTGCAGAGGTCAGTCTGGGCAAAGTGTGAGACCCTATCTGAAAATCAAATTTTAAAAAAGCAAAAAAGAACTGAGGGAGTGGCTTAAGTGTTAGACTGCTTATCTAGCAAGTGTGAGGCCCTGACTTCAATTCCTAGTACCACCAAAAAATACTAACAAGGAAAGGAGTTTTTAAAATTTAAAGCCTTTAATATTTATTTTGAAAAGAAGAATGGAAAGAGCAGAAACAAATAAAATACCCAGAAAAGAGAACCCAGAAAAACTCGTGCATTCTGGAGTTGGCATTCCAGACTCATTCACTTATCCAGCAACTGGCCTCCCACTCTCTTTCATACACTCTTTAGTTGTGGTAGATGCAGGAACAGTGGGGGAAGCAGACAGAAACATTCCTGCCCCCAGGGTGCTTCTATTCCAGTGAAGAAGGTGGATGGTAAACAAAGCAAAATAAGTGTGCTTGTGACGATGAGCATTCTAGAGAAAAGGAAAGCAGGGAAGGTACTGTGCGGAGTACAGAGTTGGAAAAATTAATTTTTAACTGAGTAATCAACATAGCCCCTGCCTAGGTTAGTAAAATCACAAAGAGGTTAGGGAAGCAAGCCTTTCACATGTGTGGGGGTAGAGAATTGCAACCTAACTGCCATTGTGTATGCACAGCCCTTAGGCTTGAATGTAATGGGTGTATTTAAGAAACAGCCAGGCAGGATGGCAGGAATAAAAGGAGAGTGGGAACAACAGGAAGAGAAAGTCAGTCTTGACAAGCCTCACATGTAATTCTCTAGAAAGATTTCGTCCTTGAGTGACACAGAAGCCACTGGAACAAAGCTTTGTTTTCATGGTTCCATGGGGCTACTGTGTAGAGAGCAAACTAAAGGGAGGCAGGGGCCAAACTGAGGAAACCAAGAAAGAAGCCATTGTAGTAATCCAGGTATAAACATTATGCGACTTGCTCAAAAGAAAACACAGGTGTCAGCAAGTTTATAGACGTCAGGAGACACCAGCTCTCTCCAGCATCAGAGAAAGAAGATAACGGGTGCTGGAAAGGATTTACAGCAAAGAGAAGATTGTATACTGTTGGTGGGAATGTAAATTAGTGCAGACATTTTGGGAAATAGTATGGAGTTTCCTCAGAAAAACTACAAATATAGTTACCATGTCATCTAGCAGTTCTACTACTGAATATATGAGTATGTCAGAGAGATATCTGCATTCTCATGTTTATGGCAGTACTATTCTCAATAGCCAAGAAATGGAAACAACCTAAGTGTCGATCAACTAATCAGTAGATTTAAAGAAAAAAAAGTAGTACATACACACAGCGGAATATTGTTCAGCCATGAAAAGGGTGAAGTTCTGTCATTTTGGACATGGATGGCATTGGACATTGTTATGTCAAATAGATAGACCAGCACAGGAAGATAAGTACCACATGATCTCATATGTGGAAGCTAAAAAGTTGATTTAGAAGTAGAGAGTAGATAGTGCTTGCCAGAGGCTGGGAAGGGTAGAGGGGAGGAGAGAATAGGGAAGGGTTTGTTAATGATACAAAAATAAATAGGATGATTAAATTGTAGGGCTCTGTAGCACAGTACAGTGACTGTTGTTAGTCTGTTGTTATATTTCAAAATAGCTACAGGAGAGAATTCTGAGTGTTTCTAACAGAAATGACAAAGTTTGAGATGCTAGGTATGCTGTGCCCTTTGATCATTACAACTGTGAGCATGTATGTGTACCACACTATACCCCAGAAACACATATAATTATGTGTCAGTTTAAACAGTTGTTTAAAAATGTCCCACCTGGGAAATCTAAATTTGAGATGCCTACTAAGGCACGTAAAGGGAAATGATAGCAGTTTACGGTTCTCGGCTAGAAATAGGAGTGTGTGAGATGTCAGTAAATAGGTGTGTATAGTCACAAAACTGCAGTCCTTTGCTGTGCTTGGAAGAGAAGAACTCTAGGTAGTGCAGTGGTAAGGAAATGGAGGAAAAGGAGAACGAAAAGATGAGACCACTGAGTTGGCACAGAATCCAGAGCCTAAAGTGTCCTGGAAGCCAAGTGAAGAAAGCACAATTGTTGCTGATGGGCGATGGGAAAGGAGACTTAAAAATAACAGGCTGCTTTTGTTTTTACCTTTTTGAGATGTAATTGAGATACAGTTATTTCATATAAACATTTGAAACCATTACCACAATCAAGATAACGAACCTATCACCATCCAAAAGACTTCTTGTGACTTTTATGATCCTTCCTACAGTTCCCAGGTCTGTATTCTGTCACTATAGGTTAGCTTCAATTTTTCCAGAATTGTATTAAAAGAAATCATACAGTGTATTCTCTGTTTTTTTGGGGGGGTCTGGATTCTTTCCTTTTTTTTTTTTTTTTTTCATTTTTCTTATTTCAATGTGCATACAAGGCTTGGTTTATTTCTCCCCCTGCCCCACCCTCCCTTACCACCCACTCCACCCCCTCCCGCTCCCCCCCTCAATACCCAGCAGAATGGATTCTTTCCTTATTTTGAGATTCATCCATACTGTCAGTATCAATACTTAATTCTTCTTTATTGCCAAATAGTATTCTATTGAATGGAGTGCTACAATTGATTTGTCCATTCCCTGTTGAGAAAACATTTGGATTATTTCCAGTGTTTATATATTACAAGTGGAGCTGCTAAAAACCTTTTGTATAAATTGCTATGTGAACATATCCTTTTCTTTTTCTTTTTTCTTTTCTTTTTGTGATACTGGGGTTTAAGCTCAGGGCTTTATGCTTGCTAAGGAAGGTACTCTTATCACTTGAGCCACACCTTCAGCTGTTTTTATTTCTTTTAAGTGAATAACTAGGAGTGGTATGGCTGGATAACTCATATGGTAGTCACATGTTTAGTTTAAGAAACTACTAAACTGGTTTCCAAAGTTTTTGAAATACTTCATTTTCTCACCAGAAGCACCCGAGACTTCCATTTGTTCTCATCTTTGTCAGCACTTGGTACAGTCTTTGTAAATTTTATCCATTGCAGTGAGGATTTAGTGATAACACTGTGATTTGAGTTTGTGTTTCCTTAGTGACAAATGATGGTGATCCTTCTGCATCCTTAAATATCTTGGCATCTATATATGTGGAGTGTCTTTTCACTGTGAACTAAAGCTAGATGTGGTGGCACCCACCTGTAGTCCCTGCTACTTGGGAGGCTGAGGTAGGAGGAGAACTTGAACCCAGAAGTTTGAGGTACCTGGGTGACAGAGTAAGACCATATTTCACAATAAATAAATTTACTAAGCAAATCAATCAATAAATAGAAATAAAGAATGAATTCTTACTCTTACATATTACTCTGCATGTGCAGTCTGAATGTTTTAAGCAGAGATTGATTGTACTTCTTTAAAATTACACATTAATTTAAATGGTAATTCACAGGGGACTAAGCTGATGAAGGCTGTGTCATTGATGTCATGTATTCCAACAGGTTGCAGCATTGCAAGAGGAAAAGAGTAGTTTGTTGGCAGAGAACCAGATATTAATGGAAAGACTCAATCAGTCTGATTCTATAGAGGATCCCAACAGTCCAGCAGGAAGAAGGCATTTGCAGCTCCAAACCCAACTAGAACAGCTACAAGAAGAAACATTCAGGTAAAAGACCACTCACTAAAAACTTAGTTACTGAAAATTTAGTAACTGTCATTTCACATTAAGAACAGTGTTGGGATTTTGGGGTAACTGAAGGCCAAGCTTTCTATGTAATAAACAACTTCTCCTAATCTTCCCGTATAACATAAATTACTTCACATCTAGGAAAAATTTGATCAAAGGTATACCCTCCTTCGGGTGCTGGTGGCTCATATCTGTAATCCCAGCTACTTAGGAAGCTGAGATCAGGAGGATTGTAGTTTGAGGCCAGCCTGGGCAAATAGTTCATAAGATCCCTATCTTAACAAATAAGAAGCTGGGCGTGGTAGGGTGTGCCTGTCATCCCAGCTGTGGCAGGAAGCATAAATAGGAGGATTGTAGCCAGGCCAGCCTGGGCAAAAAATGAGACCCTATCTCAAAAAATAACCAGAGCAAAAAAGAGTTGGAGGCATGGCTTGGGTGATAGATCGCCTTCTTTGCAAATGTGAGGCTCTGAGTTCAATTCCTAGTACCACCCCCCCCTAAAAAAAAGTACACTCACAATATTTCCTGAAGGCAGAATGCTCCAGCTACAAAATAATAGTGATTGAAAAGAAGAAACCAAGTACCAGCCCTGCATCCCCCATGCCTGTCCCACCTCTGCCTGCCCAGGAGCTCTGTGGCAAGCAAAGGTAGACTGAGAAAAAAAAAAATCACAGGAAGATGGAAGAATGCTAGTGAAGGGGCCTGAAGGTGATTGGAGTGATCATCAAAAAGACAAAATCCATCCAAAATCTAAAGTCTCTTAATAACCAAAATACCAGGACCATATACTGGTAACTCAAATACTGGTAGACCATAAGATGCAGGGAAGGGATGTCACAGTAATTGCCTTCCTTCCCTTGGTCTTTCTGTGTGGGTGGGCTGGGCTTGGCACCCAGAGCTGAGTGCAAGCTATAGGCAGGCCATCTGCATTTCCATTCCAGAGGCATCTTAAAGGGCCAGGTACCATGCGAAGACACAGGAAGGAGTTTACAGAGACTAGTGTGCTTTCTAGGCATGCAGTTTACAGAGACACAGTACAAGGGGCTAGTGTACCATTTATAGAGATAGACTTATTTAAAAGTACAAGCATGGCTTAATGGAACTGTCTTCCAAACACTTTACTTCTGGGAGAGTAAATAGACAAAAGAAAAGAAGAGACATCCTTTGGCACGTGGGTGGTAAAAGGAAAAAGAGGAAAAGGGAGAATTTGATGTCTTTTAGGACAAAATGGGACTACAGTTTCAAACAACTTAACAGTATGATTAACATTTTGTAATGGTTTACTAAAAAGTGCATTATGATCTGTTTCTTACCTAGCTATAGATTTAAAAAAGAGAAATTAGACATAAAATTGGATTTCTTACTTTACCAGATAACTTAATATATAGTAGCACATCTGCTGTCCTTCATTATTCCTCAATAAAATGTTGCTGGGGTTTTTTTCCTTCTTTATTTTGCCTTAACAGGAAAAAAATTTAAAAAAAAAAAGAAGTTAATCTTCACAGACATTAGTCTTTAGTCTTCTCAGTGACATTACAGGTCCATTCTTTGTGGTCTACATCAGTAATTCAAAATGTGATCTTAGAACCCTGGGGGGTTCTCTGAGACCTTTTCAGAGAGTGTGCAAGGTCCTGTCTGGGTTTTTGTTTGCTTTAACTTGGCCTCCTGCTTACTAAGCAGGTGTGCTACTACTTGAGCCACACCCCTGCAGTAGTTATTCCAGATAGGGTCGTGCAAGTTTGCTTGAGTATGACCTTGGGCAGTGATCCTCCTAACTATATTTCCATAACTGGGATTATAATTGTGCATCTCTATGCCCAGCTTATTGGTTGAGATAGGCGTCTCACTAACTTTTTACCTATTCTGGCCTTGAACCTTGATCCTTGATTGCTACCTCTCAAGTAGCTGGGATTGCAGGCATAAGCCACCACACCCAGCAAGGCCTTCTCTTTTCTGATTACATATTTATGCAAGATTGGATGGTCTTCATATACTTCAGTGAAAAACAACCTTCATAGCAGATGAAGGTAGAAGCAGTTATAAGAACCCCGATATCTTCTCTTAAGCCAGATATTGGAATAGCAACAATGCCACCCTTCTCTTTTTTGTTTTATAAATTATGATTCATAAAAACTGTCATTTATATTAACAAAATGGATTTATTACTATTTTCAAATGAACCTAGTAGGTATATTTAAATGTGTTATTTACTAACACGATAAGTATCAGTAGATAAATCCTGTATAAACAGAAGTTCTTTTGGGTTCTTGGTACTTCTGAGAGTGTGAAGAGCCCTGAGACCAAAACGTTTGAGAACCCATTGCCCCCATCATCTTGACTGCCTAAGATAGAGCCAGTGGATGGCAAAACCCAAGTGCAGCTTTACCCTTTTGTTTCTAAGTTGTGGTTAGTCTTTAAATTAAAATTTCATCATTAAAGAAAGTGATTAATACTTTTATTGTTCTAGATTACTTATTTGTAACATTTTATTTTGAACTGTCTTAACTCAGATATTTGTCAGTACCATATATTTCAGTATTTTTGATTAACCATTCTTGCTAAAGTCAGATATGAGACTCCTGGCTCATCTTTATTAGCTTAATATTGATGCAATAAAACACAGACAAATCAGTGACACCAAGTGAAGATCCAAATTCATAAAAATGTGTGCTATAAAAAAAGAGAGCATTCTCTAATCAATAGGGAAGGTTTAAATTGTTTGTTCAATGATTTAGGGTAGGCATTTTGATGGAAAAAGTTAGTATCTGACATTTCATCATATACCAAAATGAGTTCCAGGGAAATGAAAAACTTTAATGTTAAAATTGAAACTATTAGAAGTGCTAACAGAAAACGTAGGATTAAAAGAATAAAACTGAAAGCAGGAACTATGAAGTATAAGATTAGCCAACTGAATTGCATAAAAATACCTCTGAACATTAAATACTTACAAAAGTAAGGTTAGCAGTACATATTGTTATGAAAAGTAATTGCACCTGGAAAGACAAAGAACCTTGCAAATCAAAGGAAGGATGTAGATTAAGTAAACAAATCTGATTAATCAGAAGTAGGAATAGTATTAACCATGTTTGGGGAAAATAATCTGAACAGAAACCAGACCAGAGGATACATTCTAAAAATGTTGACAACTAGTTACCTGTCTGGATTAAAACATAATTTTTATTTTTGTGTTTCTGTGTTTTGCAAATTTTCAACAAGAAATAGATACTAATTTTGTACTAAAAATTACAACCTTAAATTATATCTGCAGTATTTTGGGAACACAAATTCTTAATGTCTTTCTTGCTGTCAATGAGGAATTGTACTGTTACAGCCCTTGCCAAACATGGAGCAGTGAAACCTGTTGCTATGACAGCTACAAGAAGAAGACATGGTCAGGAAGAGTTTATTCCCATGTTTTACATTTTTGTTTTGTTTTACTGTCCTAAGGAGAATTATGAGACAACAAATCGTGCTGTTTTCATTTATTTTGTTTTGGCTACAGACTAGAAGCAGCCAAAGATGATTATCGAATACGCTGTGAAGAGTTAGAAAAGGAAATCTCTGAACTTCGGCAACAGAATGATGAACTAACCACTTTGGCAGATGAAGCTCAGTCTCTGAAAGATGAGATAGATGTTCTTAGGTAAATAGTTTCCCCTTCACTGTGGAATCTGAGACCCATCTCAGGCCCAGAGCACTTCTGTGTCTGATGTTGCAAACCCTGGTATCTCTGAGCACGCCAGCATGTTTCAGATAGAAGCCAGATCACCTGGTTTCAGATCCCAGGCCACCGTTTACTTAATGTTTGTGTAACCATTTTCTCAGCCATCAGATGGAAATAGTACATACTTACACCAGGCTTGTTATATGAGGAATTAACACGAGTTCAGGTTTATAAGTTCTTGGAGTGATAGCTGGCAAGTAAGTATCATGTAGGTATTTGTTAAATAGAATTAACCTGCATCCATCACCGTACACTTGCATAGCACTGGATCTTTTCTTTTTACTATTATTCTTTAATTCTCAGCCCCCCCCCAGTACTTGGTCTTCCTTTTTCTTAGATACCAGTGCAGCTCATAAAACTTTATTCCCTTGGGAGATAGTTTCTTCTTTTTAGTTATTCCTTCTCTAGGCATCTCACTACCTATTACCTCACTGTTCCACCATTCTATTTTTTACATAATTTCTTGTCCTCTGTTGGGCCATCTGAGTTTTCTACTTTTGTTCTTTGAATGTTGAGAATTTATAGAGAAAAATGATAATAGTTCTATAGTTTTTCTTCTACTTTAAATTAGTGGTCTCTACTCTTCACTGGATTCTTACTCCTGACTACTGCTCACCAGTACGTAGCCTTGTCTCCCATTTCTTTCATAGTTCATACAGGTTTTCATAATTCTACTCACCTATCTGCCACCTACCACACTCCCTCATGCCTTCGGCTCAGTTGGTGTCCTTGTCTCCTACTACTCAGAGGAAAGGAGTCATGAACTGTTTAACTCTCCATACCCTTTGTCTCCTGCACTTCTAAATTTCCCTGCATTTTCGTCCGTCTTTTCCTCTTTTGCTTCTAGAGTGTAGACTGTTATCTTTCTACCTGTTCAGTACTAATACCTTCCTCAGTGCTGAGGAGGGTAGTGGGGTGCGTGGTGCTCAAGCCTTCTGACCAATGTATGGATTTTCATTTCTCTTTGTGTCTTGAGTCTCTAACACACACACATCACTCATTTAGATCTCCTTAATCTTAAAAAAAAAAAAGAAAGAGAGAGAGAGAAACACTTACCACTCTCTTCTTCTTTCCAAAACCAAGTTTAGGGTATATAAGATAAAATTTACATTTTCTCTCCAACACCCTAAAATTTGCCACTGCCTCCCCACTTCTCCACCAAAACCTCTGCTCATCTGGTCACTGATGACATACTAACTGCCAAATCATTTGGGCCCTCCACAATTTATTTTACTTTTGTGTTAAATGCTGGTTATCCCCTCCTGTTTACTTTCCTTAAGTTATATAGCATTCTCAATAGCATGTTTTTCTGTAATTTTGGTCATAATTTTTAACTGTGCAAAAAATTAACCTGGAGTCACGTTTGGTCTTTTTTCATTAGAATATGTTTTTTTTCCTTGTGATGTCTGTTGGTTTGACACTGAAACAATTTGATGACTGTAGGTGTGTTCCTGACTTTTAATTTCTCATGTCATTCTAGACATTCTTCTGATAAAGTGTCTAAACTAGAAGGTCAAGTGGAATCTTACAAAAAGAAGCTGGAAGACCTTGGTGATTTGAGACGGCAGGTTAAACTCTTGGAAGAGAAGAATACTGTGTATATGCAGAACACCGTTAGCCTAGAGGAGGAGTTGAGGAAGGCCAATGCAGCTCGAGGTCAACTTGAGACATACAAAAGACAGGTAAAAGAACAGAGACAAAGCTCTTCATTGTGGTAGCAAGCACCTGCTCCACCAGGACACATAGCTTATGAAGACTTTACCAAGTTTTGTTTTCAAGGTTCTTAATATTTTCTCAATTATATTTATTTCTATTTGTCCTACATTTAAAGAACTTTAAATATAGGCCTACCCAAAGGTTATTGATAGGTCTCTGTAGAAGATCCCTTTTTAAAACATTTTTAAATTTATTACAAAATACACAACAGCAAAAGAATAATGCAGTAAGTGTCCGTGCTTAAAATATAAAACATGACCTTCCTCTCAGGTGACCTTTGTGCTGTTTTGTGGTTTTCATTCCCATGCATCTCTGTATTTTTGTTACATCATATTTATCCCTAAAAATGTGTATCACTTTGATGAGAGCTTTATGCTTCTGCGTGCTCTCTCTATTTCTCTCTCTCTCTCCCTCTATCTCTGTTCTCTGTGTGTGTGTGTGTGTGTGTGTGTGTGTGTGTGTGTTAAAAGATATACCACATATGAATACCATTGATCATGTCCTTTTGTATATGTGTATGAAGGTTTTGCAGCCTTATGGAATTTCTTAGAGTATCTTCAATGTAATTAAATATTACCAGATTGTTTGCTGAAGTGACTTTATTGCCAGCAAGCAGTTTATATGAATTCTTTGCTCCTAAATCATCACTAATACATACTATTCAAATGTTATATTTTGCTAATTTAATGAATATAAAATGGTGTCTTCTTATGGTTATATCTTGCATTACAAATATATTTATTGGCTGTATTTTTAAAATTGAACTGTTGATTTCTAAAAGTTTTAAAAATACATTCTAAGTTTTAATTTTTCATAACTTACACATTTTTTGTTTTCTACAGGTCTGTAACCTGTCCTTTTATATTTTGAGGTTCATATTTTAACGTAATGAACTCCAAATAATTTGTCTCTATGATTTGTGCCAATTTAAAAATTTATTTCCTACATAAGTATGTAAATCTAATTACCTCTATTTTCTTTGTAAAGATTTGCAATTTGGGGCTGGGAGAGTGGCTCAAGTGGACGAGCACCTGCGTAGTAAGCAAGAAGCCCTGAGTTCAAACTGTACTACCCCAAAGGAAAAAAATAAATGCAAAAATGATTTAAAATTTGTTTTGCACATTTAGGTTTTGTTTTGATTTTTTTGGTGGGACTCGGGTTCGAGCTCAGGGATTCATGCTTGCAAAGCAAGCACTACCAGTCCATTTTGCTCTGGTTAATTTAGAGATTGGGTCTTGTGAACTATTTGCCTGGGCTGGCCTCAAGCCTAAATCCTCCCAAGTAGCTAGGATTGCAAGTGTGAGTCACCAGTACCCAGCTACACATTTAGTGGTTTGGGGTTTTATTTTGTTGTTTTGTTTGTTTGTTTGTTTTTGGTGGTACAGGGTTTGAATTTGGCCTCATGCTTGCTAGGCAGGCACTCTACCACTTGAGCCACTCTGGCAGCCCCCACATTAAAGTTTCTAGTTGACTTGTATGTAGGGTGTGAGGAAGGAATCCATGTACTACTAGTTCTTTGTGTGCATCAGTGAGCCCAGCACCATTGTGTAATAAACAGTGCATTCTTCACAGAGGCTTGCTGTTCTGCTTTTGTTTCTAAAGCTTCCATGCTGTGTATGGGTTTGTTTCTGGGTACTCTTTTCTGCTCTTGATCTGATTCTTTATTCCTGTGACTTAATATCATGGCAGTTTACTTTCTGTAGATTTTTAGTGATTTTGATATTTGGGCAAGAAGCCCCCCATGCATGTTCTTTTTCAAAACTATCTATTCTTGGCCCTTCGCTTTCCCTTTAAAAACAAAACCTTGGGAATTGAAATTGTACTGACTCTGTTGAACAGTTTGGGAAGAATTGACAACATTGTGACAGTGAGTGTTAGTGTTCCTACATGTGAATGTGGTATCTTCCCATTTATTTAAAGCTTTTATTAAGTTTTGAAGTTTTCTAAAGATCATGCACATATTTTGTTGTATTTCCTCATAGGTACTTCATGTTCTGTCTTTTTAAATAAATGCAGTTAGTTAAAGGAAAATACAATTTTCTGTTTGTTGCTGATCAGTATGAGTGAAATTTACTTTTATTTGTTGATTTGCAATCTTGCCTAATCTTCATATTATTTCTGATGAGTATTGATTGTCTTTTAGAAGTAGCAGTATAGTAAACAAATGAAAGCAGTTTTGTTTCTTTCTGCTAGTCTTTAATACATCTTTGAGTAGAAACAATAATAGTGGGAAACTACTCAATGCTGTTCATTATGTCCATAATGTTTTACCAATTTATTAAACTGTTTCTTTAGCCATATTATATTAGGATAAAAAAATTCTGTAGTATTCCTAATTTGCTAAGAGTTTCTGTCTTCAGTAGATGTCAGAGTTGACTTCTTTCCCCACATGTGTTCAAAAAATCTTATGTTTCTTTCTGTTAATGTGGATTTTCTAAGCTTAAACTGTGCTTGCATTCCTAAAATAAACTTGGCTTGGTCACAGTGTGTTTGTTATTTTCACAGTGTCACACTTGTGTTGTTTATTTTACTTACAGTATTTTGCCTCTGTGATTCACTTGCAGTTTTCTAACTCATACTTCCCTTATCTTGTTTTGGCATCAGACTTACACTACCTCATAAGCTGAGTTGGAGAGTGATCTTTGTTTTATCATTCTGAGAAAGCATTTGTGTTAAACTGGGATATTCTGTCTTTTGAAGTTTAGTACAATAGCCCTGGACATCAAGAATAGCTCCTAAGTTTTTTGTTGGATGCATTTTTCTCTACACTTCATTATGAGTTTTTTTTTTTTTTACCCAACTTGTCTTTATTTTCCTGCTGACATTTCTAATAAGAGGGAAAACAGACCCAACTGGTGTGCTGGCAAGAACTTTGTCCCTCTGCAGGGACGAATTTCTAGCCCTGGCTCACCACTTGGCCTCTTAGCCAATCCCCTTCCCCCACCTATTATGAAAATTTAAAAATGCACAGCAAACTTGAAAGAATTAATGAATGTAAATATGGGCTGTGAAATTACCCAAGATAAGTGTAGCTCAGATAAACAGTAAATAATGTGAAATATAAAAATAAAAAATGAAATATAATATAAGGAATACTGAAGAAAGGATTAGAGAAAAATATTATTTGAAGAAGATAGCTGGACAGTTTTCAGAACTAATCAAGGATATAAGATTTAGAATTAGAAAGAAATCTATACCTAGAAATATTGTAGCAAAACTGCACAATTCTCTGTACTTGTTTCTGATAGACTTTTAATATACTTAAACTCTGATATACTTTAGTAGACTTTTTTATGATAATATTTTTCTTCCTACAAATTCTTTGTGTGGTTTTTGAAACTCGTCATTTTTTATGAGCTTATAACTTTTATTTCTTTTTCATTATTATTATAAGGTAGTTGTGGGAATCAAACTTGAGGGTGTCAGGCATAATATACTCTCTCATTGAGTTACTCCCTCCCAGCCCTTGGGTTTTTTTGTTTTCATTTTTATTAGGACATATTCATTGTACAGGGTGGATTCATTGTGACAGTTCCAAATAGGCTTATATTGTACATTGGTTAGATCACTCCCTCCACCCTCTCCCACCCCACTTAAAGCAATTGCAAGAGCTTTCATCATTCTATTTCATCTATGTATATGAAGCCCATCAACCATATTCTCTCACCTTTGTCTCCATTCACCTCCCTCCCTCGGTACCTATTTTACAGTCTTGTCTTTAATTATTAATTCCTAAGTCAATGTTCAAGGGGTTTCTCCATGTATCTCCACTATTGAGTATACTTGAATCTGGTCAGTTCAGCCCCTTCCATTATCCTCCCTTATCCTTTCCCTCCCACCCCCCATTTTTCAACAGCCTTCAATACATATTGTTGTATCCTTTACCTTTGCAGATGTAATGTATTTTGGTATTGTTGGACTATCATTCCCTTTTCCTTTCCCTCCTTCCCCAGGTTCCGTGGAGTAGCTCCACTACTACAAACATGTTGTACATATAAATGTGTGTATGATTGTGTTTGGTTTTGTATATATGTTAATCTTTTAGATCTGCCTTCCACATATGTGTTTCTGAACCTAGCTACTTCACTTAACATAATGTCTTCCAATTGTATCCATTTACCTTCACATCACATGATTTCATTCTTCCTTATCAGCCTTTGGTTTTTTGAGACAGGGTCTTTCTGTGTAGCTCGGAGGCTAGTGTGGAACTTGTGATCCTTCTTCCTCCACCACCCTAGTACTGGGATTATAGGTGTATGTTCCTCATTATTTTCTTTAAAGTATTAAGCCTAATATATATATATTGTGTGTCTCATAATTACAGTTTGAAATCCTTGGAGGATTTTGTTGTTATTGCTATTAATATTTCCTGCTGATTCTTATTTATCATGGCATTTTTTTCATGGTGACCTGTGTAATTTTAGATTTTGCCTTTATCTTTGTGGCTCATGAGGATATTGAGTTGAAGTTTTGTTTCTCTGGGCAGTATGTAGGTTTGCTCACTCAGATTTTCCACAGGATTGCCACCAGGATCACTTTAATTGCTTGATTTAGGTTTCCCCAAACAAGGCAAGTAGTAAAAACTCAAACACAAATCCACGTATTAAGTGGCCATGCATAGTTACATGTTTCCAAGTTATACTCTTCTAAACCGAAAGGGCTCAGTTTATCTTGTCTGAGGCAGTTGATTTATGTTGCGTGCAAAACTCCAGATTTCTGTATTGGCAGGAGCCACCTCATGGTACCCATAGTTTCTGCATGAATTTCCCACTTTGATCTTAGCCTCGTGTAAGCTTAACTGTGTAACTGAATTTCCACATCCTTTCCCTCTCATTCCCTCCCCTGTCTTCTCTCCATTCCTTTCTTGTTTTAAAATACTATAAAAAATTTTATAGTATTTTATTGTTGTACTGGGGGTACCTTGTGACGTTTGCAAAAGTTCTTACAATATATCGTAGTTGAAAGGGGTTTTTCATAGAACTATATTTCTGGTGCTGAGGACGGAACCCAGCACATGTGGACCATGCCAGTGACCCACATCCCATCCCCCATAGTGATAATTTCTGATGGTTCACATTGTAAAGATTAACGGTATCTTTCTATATCAGGTAGTAGAACTGCAAAATAGATTGTCCGAAGAATCAAAGAAGGCAGACAAATTAGATTTTGAATATAAGCGGCTAAAGGAAAAAGTTGACAGTCTTCAAAAAGAAAAGGATGTGAGTATATGTATTAGGAATTTTGCTCTTCTGAACTGCTAAAAATTAAAATGAGAGTGACTTTTTTTTTTTTGGTGGGACTGGGGTTTGAACTCAGAGTTTTGCACTTGCAAAGCAGGCCAACTACCATCCAGCCACCTCTCCAATCCATTTTGCTCTGGTTATTTTGGAGAAGATGGGATTTCACCAACTATTTGTCTGGGCTGGAATCAAACCATAATCCTCTTGATCTCATCCTCCCAAGTAGCTAGGATTATAAGCATGATCCACCAGTGCCTGGCTTTGATTCATATTCTTGTCTACATTAATCCCTTCTATTTATAAATAAAAGTTACAGGTTTTATTTTTAGATTACTGAAGATTTCCATTTGTTTCAGAAATAGATGTAAAATAAAAGATATTTTTACTTTCATTATGATTTCTTTAATGTGCTTATCTTTTCCACCATTGTTTTACTCTTGATATAAATTTGTGTAGCTTTTCTGTTTTGTATGATTCAAGGAAAGTATTTTTGTTATTCAGCATATTTTCAATCTTTTAAAGATTTTATTTTGCTTTTCATGATTTATAAATATTTAGTCTTTATCCTTTGATCTTTGTTTAGTGAAAAGAAAGCTAAGAAATTAATTACTTATTGTTAAGAATGATTTAGATAGCTTTGTTTTAATATTTTACTGTGGATAACCTATTACCTTGCAATAGTAGATCTTTGGGATTGTTAATATGAAAAACATTATTCTAATCGTTTTCTCCTCAAATAATCTTTCCATAAAGATTAAAAGGTAAATGTTTTCTATTTTTTATCATTTTATTAGGAAAGAAAGATCACTGGTTAATAAGTTCACATAACTTGAATTGACCTTCCATGTTTTTATGTCCCTACAGAGGTTAAGAACAGAAAGAGATTCTCTGAAGGAAACTATTGAAGAGCTTCGTTGTGTACAAGCTCAAGAAGGGCAGCTTACCACTCAAGGTAAAACATCTTAGTAGCCCAGATGAGATGGTTTATATTTTATGGTATCAGTAAAAGTATCAGGTTTACTTTATTTATTTATTTGTTTGTTTATTTACTTATTGGCAGCACTAGGGTTTGAACTCAGGTCCTCACACTTGCTAGGCAGGTGCTCTTACCACTTGAGCCACTCCTTCTGTTCTTTTTTGTGATGGGTTTTTTCAAGATAGGGTCTCAAGAACTATTTGCCCAGATTGGCTTTGAACCGTGATTCTCCTGATCTCTGCCTCCTGAGTAGCTAGGATTACAGGTGTGAGCCACAGGCGTCTAGCTTAGAGTCACTTTAAATATTTATACCAAGAGATGAAGGTGAAAAATTGGTTAGAGGTAATAAATTGATGTAAACTTTTGAACTATTTACCAGATTTGCTAACTTAAAAAAAAAGTAAGCATTTGAATTTTATTAGCTCAAAAGCATTTGCTAAATTATCTCTGTTAACCCAGAACCTTTTATTCTGCAAAGCCTCTTATGACCTCTTTAAAAATGTATATCAAACTTTCTCAGTCATTGATTGTCTTTTTTCACTGAAGAAAGGGGAGTGGGTTTTAATCCATTTAGAGACTTACATCTAAAAACTGTTCTTTCTCACCTGAAGGATTCAACACTTAACTTAGCTCAAAGTTTGCCCTGTATACTTCTATCATCGCTGTGAGTGGCTGAAGGAGGCTGATGATGACTTGTATCCTCCCATACTAATAAGTAGGCTTAGATTTTATAGTTATCAAAAACTGGATTTTTCTTTTCCAGTGATTGTAACCTCCATTTTCCCTCCTCATTCCACCTAAAACCTGCTCATCTACTTCATTTCATCTTGAGTCCCCTCCACTGTCTCTGTTCATCGCCTCTCTTGGCCTCACTTCCAGCTAGCCCAGCTTGCACATCAGCTGCTACAGCCATTTCCCACACTGCTCCCTCCTCATCCTCTTCACTTGTGTCTAGTCCATGCTCCACAAACCCTACTTCAGACAGCCTACAGTTCTTTCTCGCAATTCCAAATTACCAATGACAGCTACAGAAAATTATATCTTTCTTGATTGCCTTCTCCAAAAAAGCCTCATTTCTTATTATAATTGGATCCTCACTGCTACCTGGGAGTTATTTCACTTATTTTAATCATCATGCATATGTTTTTCTAAAATTTTGAGAATGTTTCATGAGCCTTAACCCTTGTGCTCTTAGTTTCTAAAATTATGTAGAAAAGATAGATCATCTCATATAAACTTTTACATGTGTTTCTTTGATTCTCTTTGAAAATCTGCATTTGTTTTAAAAGAAAAAAATATTTGGCAGTACTGGGGTTTGAACTCAAGGCATCGTGCTTGCTAGGCAGGCCCTCTATCACTTGAGCTATGCCTCCAGTCCTTTTTTGCTTTAGTTATTTTTTGGATGGGGTCTTGCATTTTTGCCTGAGACTGGACTCAGACTGCAATCCTCCTACCTGTATTTCCTACATAACTGGATTACAGATATACACTAGCATGCTCTGCTTATTTTGTTGATTTGGGATTTTGGTAACATTATTTCAAGGGCTGGCCTTGAACCACAATCCTCCAGATCTCTGCCTCCTGGGTAGCTGGGATTATAGGAATGCACCACCACTCCCAGCCCTTCTTTTTACCTTCTTTATGTACATATCCTTTGACCCATCAGTTTTGCTCTAGGAATGTACTCCAAGTGAATTAAGGCATTGTTTCTAATAGTGAATTTAGAAACAGTCTGAAAGTAGCAGCATATAAATGGTATTCTCATTCACCTGTAAATTAATCAATTATTAATTAGGTTTATTCATTAAAATTAATTAAATTCACCATTAAAGAGTACAGTGTGGACTGGCTATGGTGGAACATACTTGTAATCTCAGCTACTTGGGAGGTGGAGGCAGGAGGATCATGGTTTGAAGTCAGCCTGCACATAAAAAGTAAGTCACTGTCTCAAAAATAAGCCAGAGCCAGGCCTGGTGGTGTATAGCTGTAATCTCAGCCATGCCGGAGGCAGAGGTAGAAGGATCACAGTCCAAGGTCAGCCCCCCAAGGCAAAAGTGAGAGACCCTTTCTGAAAAATAACTTAAAAACCTGGGTGCAGTGGCTCACACCTGTAATCCCAGCCACTCTGGAGGCAGAGATTGGGAAGATTACAGTTTGAGACCAGCCTGGGCAAAAAATCTATGAGACCCTATCTCAACCAATAAAAAGCTGGGTGTAGTGGTATGCACCTGTTATTCCAGCTACATTAGAAGCATAAATAGGGGAATCACCACCATGTTGGCTGGCCAGAGCATGAAAGCAAGACCCTATTTGAAAAATAATGAAAGCAAAGAGGGCGAGGGTCATGGTTTAAATGGTGCAGTGCTTGCTTGACAAGCACAAGTCCCCTGAGTTCAAACCACAATACCACCAACAAAACAAAACAACACAAGCTAGGTGTGGTGGTGTATGCCTGTAATCCCACTTACTCAAGAGATGGAGATAGGAAGATCACAGGATCGGGGTCCAAAGTCAACTTGGGCAAAAGTACAAGACCCAACTTTTTAGTTTGTTTTTAGTTTGAAAAACAAACTAAAAACAAAAAGGACTTGGGTATTCAAAGTGGTAGAGTACTTGCTTAGCAAGTGAGTTCAAACCTCAGTACTGAAAAAAAGAGTTCAGTATATCTTGTGCACATGTGACATAAAGACCTGTGTGTTATAGCATTACTTTAGAATAGCCAGTAGCAAGGGCCAAGTGTGGCATGCATACCTGTAATACTAGTTATACAGGAGGTATAGGTAGGAGGATTGCAAGTTGAAGCCTACTGCAGACATAAAACTCGAGACTCTATCTGAAAAATAACTAAAAAAACAAAAAGAGCTGGAGGTGTGGGTCAAGTGATAGAGTAGTTGCCTAGCAAGTGCAAGGCCATGAGTTTAACCACCCCCCTCAAAAAAAAAAGACAAAGGAAAAACTGGTAGCATCAGTCTTTATAAACTCTCATCAAAGGAGGAATTGAATCTTTAGCCTTAGTAAAGGTTGTCCAGAAGAAACCTACAGCTAACCTTATAATGATGGAAGACTGAATGCTTTTCCCCCTAAGATCAGAAACAAGGCAATCACCTCTGTTCAATATGGTGTCAGGAGTTCCAGCCAGTGCAGCCTGGCAAAACAAATTAAAAAATAAAAACCATCTAAGATTGAAAAGGAAGATTTTTTTTTTTAAATCATAGGTCAAATAAATGAATTGAGCATTGTCTCAAAATATAATATTTCTAGTTACAGGGAGTATCCTTTTTTTGGTAGTGGTAGGGCTTGAACTCAGGGCCTTGTGCATGCTATGCAAGCTCTTTACCACTGAGATATCCTCAGTGTTACCGGTGAACATTATGAAAATGAAATTATAATAGTATCATAAAGAAATAAAGTGCTTAAACCAGGCATGGTGGCACCTGCCTGTAATTCCAGCACTCAGAAAGATAAGGCAGGAGGACCTGCTGCATTTTTTTTTTTTTTTGGCAGTATTGGGGTTTGAACTCAGGCTTCACACTTACTAGGTAGGTGCTCTACCACTTAGCCACAATGCCAGCTCAGTCTGAACTACATAGCAACACCTGTCAGAAATGACATGAAACATAAAATAAGCTGGGGGTGTAGCTTACTGGTAGAGCATTAGCATGTAAAAGTCCCTGAGTTCAATGCCAGGAAGGAAGAAAAGCAGGGGATGGGAATGCAAGACTTGTACACTAAAAACTGTAAAACATTGCTGTGTTAAAATAAGATGTAAGAATGTGGGAGGTATTGAAAATTCTCCTCCTATTGGTCTAAAGAGTCAGTGAAATCCCAAGCAAAACCTCCAGCAAAAATTTTTTATAGTAAATGACAAACTGGAAACTAGAGACCATCATGTTCAGCAAAATAAGCCCAACTCTGAAAGACAAATGTCATGTATTTTCTCTCAGATGCAGAATCTAAACCAAAAAAAGAGGGACATGAATGTGAAAGGGTGACTGTTGTGGGGGGGCAGGGGGGATAAGCAGGAGGAGAAGGGCAAAAGAGGGTGATGGGGTGTGTATAATTGGAGCACTTTGTATTTATATGCATATATGAAGATAAAGTAATGAGTCCCATTAAAATAGTAAAAAAAAAAAATTAACGGGGGTTGGGAATAAGAAAGAGTAATGGGAGGTGATTTGATCAAAGCACATTATATACATGTATGGAAATATCACAATGAAACCCATACATACAATTAATATAAGATAATGATAGAATAAGAAAGTCACAAACCAATCCTAAGATTTATATGATAATGCATAATAGCCAGAATGGAGAACTTAAGCATCTTGATTTCAAAGTTTACTACAAAACGACTTTAAAAAGAGGCACTGTGGGACTTGTGTAAGGATAGACATTGAAGTCAATGTAATACATTAACAGAACGAAGGAAATATTACACAGTTGTGTCATTGGTACAGAAAAAGCATTTGAAAAAAATCCACCACCCATTCATAATTTAAAAAATGCAATTTAGAAGAAAAGAAGATTTCTTCAACATATAAAGAAACATATATGGAAAAACCTGTGGCTAATATCCTACTCAGTGGTGAAATACTGAAAGCTTTTCCTGCAAGATCAGGAATAAGACAAAGATGTCCTCTATCACAACTTGTATTCTACACAACACTGGAATTTCTAGCCAGAGCAATTAGGCAAAGGGAAAATGAAAATAGGAAGGAAGGTAAGAAAAAATGGTTTCCATATTTTGCATGTCCATAAGTGTAAGAATGAAACTGGACCCTACTTTCCACTATATACAAAAAATCAGCTCAAAATGAATCAAAAACCTAAATACAAGAGCTAAACTATGGAGGAAAATCTTGATAGCATTGAATTGGTAACAAAAGCACAGGCCACAAAAGGAAAAAGTAGATGAATCGCACTTAAAAAATTGAAAACTTTTGTGCATCAAAAAAACACTATTAACCAAGTAAAAGCAATCCTTAAAATGGGAAAGAATATTTGCAAATCATACATTTGATGATGGTTAATATCTTGAATATATGAGTTCCTACAACTCAGCAATAATAAAAACAAAAGCCCTTTCACTCATGGGCAAAGGACTTGAGTAGATATTTCTCCAGAGAAGATGTACACATGGTCAGTGAGCACACGAATAGCAACATGATTAAGTCACTAGAAAAAGACAAATCAAAATGGCAATGAAATACCATCTAACATTAATTATCGTGACTGGTACTTCCCGATCCCCAACGTAAACACACACACACATACACACACACTCTCTCTCTCTCTCTCTTACTTACACTCACACAAAGAGAAATGAGTTTTGGTGAGGTTGTAGAGAAGTTAGAGCCCTTGCATAGTGCTTCTGGGAAAGGGACAGGGCTGTGGAAACCATTTCAGTGTCTCTTTAAGAAGTTAAACATGGCCTGGCAGCCAGTGGCTCACACCTATAATCCTAGCTACTTAGGAGGTTGAAATCAGGAGAATTGAGATTTGAGGCCAGCTCAGGAGAATAGTTCTCGAGACCCTATCTCTAACCCAGAACAAAATGGGCTTGGAGGTGTGGCTCAAGCGGTACAATGCCTGCTTTGCAACCATAAAGTCATGAGTTGAAGCCTCAGTCCTACTAAAGAAAAAAGTTAAACATGGAATTATATGATTCATTTAGTAATTCCATTCCTAAGTATACAGCCAAAAGAATGAATAGTGGGGGCACCCAGATATATGTACACAGATGTTTATAGAAATATTACTTATAGTGGCCAAAAGGTGGAAACACTTACATGAGATGTCTAGAATGAGCAATCATTGAGACAGACAAAAAGTAGAATACAGTTTGCCAGGGACTAGGAGAAGGGGCAATGGAGAATTGTTGCCTAATACTTAGATAATTTCTGATTTGGGTGGTCAAAACGGTTTGAAAGTAGGTAGTGGTAATTGTTACACAACATTCTGAAAGTACGTAATGTGACACAGCTGTTCTCTTAAAAATGGTTAAAATGCCAGTGGAACAGAAGACCCAAATATGAATTCACGTGGTTATGTCCACCTGATTTTTGACAAAAGCACCCAAAAACATATGATGGAGAAAAGACAGGCTCTTTGACAAATGTTGCTTGGAAAACTGTATATCTGTATGCAGAAAACTGACTAGATCCATGTCCTTCACCCTGTATAAGTATCAACTCAAAGTAAATTAAGGACCTTAGTATAGAACCTGAAACTTTGAAGGCAGTGCAGGAAATAGCAGGGAGCACATTAGAACTAATAGGCATAGGCAATGACTTCTTAAATAGAACTCCAGTGGCTAAGCAACTAAGAGTAAGAGAAAGGATTAATAAATGGGACTACATGAAATTAAAAAGCTTCTGCACAATAAAAGAAATGGTCACCAGATTGAAGAGGCTGCCCACAGAATAGGAGAAAATCTTTGCTGGCTGTACATCTGACAAGGGATTAATAACCAGAATATATAGGGAGCTCAAAAAACTAAATTCCCCAAAAATTAATGACCCAATGAAGAAATGGGCAAATGACCTGAACAGAGCCTTTTCAAAGGAAAAAGTCCAAATGGCTAAAAAACACATGAAGAAATGCTCAGTCAACATCCCTGGCTATAAAGGAAATGCAAATCAAAACTGCATTAAGATTTCACCTCACTCCTGTTAGAATGGCAGTCATCAAGAACACAAACAACAACAAACATTGGCAAGGATGTGGGAAAAAAGGAACTCTGTTGGTGAGAATGTAAATTAGTACAACCACTGTGGAAAACAGTGTGGAGGCTCCTCAACAAAAATAGAACTGCCATATGATCCAGCAATACTGCTTTTAGGGACATACCCAAAGGAATGTGAGTCAGGTTATAATAAAGACACCCGCACACCCATGTTCACTGCAGCATTGTTCACAATATCTAAGCTATGGAAACAGCTAAGATGTCCCACTACTGATGAGCAGATTTTAAAAATATATATTTATATACTATGGAATTTTATTCAGCCGCAAAGAAGAATGAAATTTTGTCACTTGAAGGTAAATGGATGGAATTGGAGAACGTCATCTTAAGTGAAGTTAGCCAGGCTCAGAAAGCCAAAAGCTGCATGTTTTCCCTCATATGTGGACTACAGACCTAATAAAAATATAAGCAATATTATGAAAACAGGTCACGCTACAGGGAGGGCACATACAAGAGAGGAGGGTAAAAGAAGGAAGTTAAGAATGTGAATATGGTTGAGGTACTTTCTATACATGCATGAATATAGAAGTTTTAAACCTGTTCAAATCACTGTAAGAAAGGACTAAGGAAAAAAATAGGGGGGATGAACCAACTCAGGTTATAATACATATATATATATATGGAAATGTCACAATGAAACTGTATAGCTAACAGAACACGAAGGTAAAACAGGTCCTATTTGGGGATTTGGTACCAGTGAGAAGGAAGGAAACAAGGAAAGGGTGTAGGAGGGTGAAAATGGTCAAAATATTATGTACTCATGTATGAAAATGGAAAAATGAGACCTACTGAGACTATTCCAGGAATGTGGGGAGAGGGGAATAAAGGAGAATGATGGAGTGGGTGAGTTCAACTATGATATATTGTAAGAACTTTTGTAAATGTTACAGTGTACCCTTAGCACAACAATAATATGATCATAAAAAAAAAAGAAAAACAAGGTAAATATTTAAAAAATGGTTAAAATGTTGAAATAATTTCCTAAGACTGCTGTGACTTGAACTTTTACTCAAGAAAAATGGTAGTTTTTACCTAGTATGCATGAGATCCTAGGTTTAATTCCTATTATCACAAAAAGAAAATAACAACAAAAAAAGTTGGTGATTTTATCTGTTAAAATTAATGCTTGTGATAGGGTTTCTTATGAAAATTGTATCACTTAAATTAAAGAGATCACTGTGGTTTTTATTAATCTTGTATTCATCTCTGTTTAATTATAGGGTTAATGCCTCTGGGAAGTCAGGAATCTTCAGACAGCCTGGCTGCAGAAATTATTACACCTGAAATCAGGTAAAGAGACTGACTGATCTTGACAGTCACCCAGCACAGTATTCTTTTTTTTTTTCTTTTATTATTCATATGTGCATACAAGGCTTGGTTCATTTCTCCCCCCTGCCCCCACCCCCTCCCTTACCACCCACTCCACCCCCTCCCTCTCCCCGCAACCCCCTCAATACCCAGCAGAAACTATTTTGCCCTTATTTCTAATTTTGTTGTAGAGAGAGTATAAGCAATAACAGGAAGGAACAAGAGTTTTTGCTGGTTGAGATAAGGATAGCTATACAGGGTATTGACTCACATTGATTTCCTGTGCGTGGGTGTTACCTTCTAGGTTAATTCTTTTTGATCTAACCTTTTCTCTAGTACCTGTTCCCCTTTTTCTATTGGCCTCAGTTGCATTTAAGGTCAGCACAGTATCCTTGGAGAAAACTTACTCACCTACGATATAAAGAGGACCAATTCCTCTTTATCGCTAACACTTTCAACAGTTACACTTTCACTATTACATTTCCATGTTTCAGCATGTTAGATGCTTTTTTCAACTGACCCAACAGAGGACCTGTTTTTCTTATTTCAGTAGGATTGTCTTTCACACATACAAAGCAAAGTATTACTTCCTTAGCAAACATTTAAACAGTGAAAACACCTGACCCAAACACAAAGGCCATACTCAGCTATCAGCCTGCAAAGTAATTAATTATGAAAATTTGTCTATTAACCACTTGGAATAGTCTGAGAAAAATACAGTGCTGTAGATAGGAGGTAATCTCTCTTCGTTTACTTGTCCTTCAGTAATACTTCTCCTTTTTATTTAACCACAGCATTTTAGAAATTCCATTTCATTAGTACATACATAGTATATGAATAAAAATGGAGACAGGAAACCAAGTGTCCAGAGGAGAATGATTAATCCTGAATGTTCCCTTCACCTTTTCTGGGCCTAGTTGCCCCCTTTAAAAATGGGCACTAGTCTTGATACTTCAGAACATCTTTGGGAATATTAAATGGGATGCTTGTTTAAGAGTTTTATAACTGAAATTGAAATAAGTATTCAAATACTTACAGAATAAATGAAGATAATATTTTTATTTTGGGCTGATGGGGTGGCTCAAGTGGTAGTGCACCTGCCTAGCAATCATGAGGCCAGTTTCAACCCCCAGGAAACTCAGTGAAACCCCAGTGGAAAAAAAAGTGGCATGTTATTTGTTAACATTTAAGAACAAGCCAGCCACTAGTGGCTAACTTCTATAATCCTGGCCACTCAGGAGGAAAAGATCAGAAAGATCAAAGTTCAAAGCCAATGTGGGCAAATAGTTCATGAGACAGTATTTCGAAAATACCCAACATATAACAGGGCTGACAGAATGTTTCAAGTTGTAAAGTACCTGCCTAGCAAGCGTGAAACCCTGAATTCAAACCCCAGTACCACCACCAAAAAAAAGAAAAAAAAGTAATACAGAAGAGGAGAGGAGTGAAAGATAACATCAAGACTAGAAGTATCTTATGTACCTTTTACTTTTTTGCCTTCTGATATGCCTGCATTGTGACTGAACTAATAAAAGCAATTGAATGAATGAACACTTACAATTTATGAATATTCTCAAATGAAAATTTATATTTATAAACATTCTACATTTTATATAAATTTCTATATTTATATATTTGCAAAATAAATTCATAGCATGTCATAAACATTGGGTTAATATTTTATATTTTTCATTGATATTGAAGGTATTAAAAATTGGAAACTTCAAACTTAGGATAAAAGATTAAAGTGGCATAACTTTTCTCTTGAGCTAATTATTAGTATGTGTCTCTTGCCTAAAAATGTGCCTGTCTTTTAACTAAAAAATTATTTTTCTTGGAATTAATCTTAAGGAACTAGCCAAGGACATATACAAACATATTTATAAAATGAGTCCTTATTAACATGTTAAAGCTCAAAATTGATCATCTAAATGCCAATAATTAGGCATTACTTAAATAATGATTTGTTTATGTAGTCTAACATTACCTTGCTTTTTTTTTTTAAAAAAAAAGTTTGCATGTGTGTCTATCTATATGCAAAGAATTAAAAGAATGTATTTCAACAGTATCATTATGAGAGGTTACATTTTCTTTTCATTTTTCTTTTTTTATCCTCTATAATGTAAATGCGTTTTCTTTGTAATTTTTTTGCCTCATACAAAATATCAATTTTTTAATAATTTCTTGGATCAAGTCATAAATTTGATTCATCTTTTCAGTAGCAAAAGTAAAAGTGCTTTATAAAAACTTATGATGTTTACAAAATAAGAGCTTTTATGTATGTGTTTTCGTTTTGATTTGTGTTTTGTTTTTCATAAGCACAATTTTGCATAGTATTTGGTATCTGATAATACTGTCTTCATGGAACCTTCTAAAGGTGACTCTGTAAAGAAAAGAATGAATTATGTCTTCAACAAATATGTCTTTAATATGCATTAATTTTCAGTTATATTATCCCTTTAGTATATATGATGACAAGTTCTGTGTGGCTGTTACATTTAACATTCCTCAATGTATGCTTTTGGCATAGCACAAAGAGCCCAAAGCAATACAGCTAGTAACCTGACTTTATTGTTATTATTACAATAATATAATTTTGCATATCTATAGGAATGGGTGTAAAATGAACAGTTAAAGACAGTTCTCACTGAATACCTCTTACTAGCAAATATTTGGTAATTTAAGAGCATAGCTTTAGAGACCATGTTTTCTTATGAGAACCAAAGAAAAGCTAAATTTATTCATATCCTAAGTATTTAAATTGGGAGGGAAATAGGATTCGAAATTTCCTACATTATAGGCCATGATATGTAGAAACTCTGTTATCTTCAGATTATCCATTCTAAAACAAACTTAAAATCTGAAAGGTAATGTCTTAACAGTTATGAAGGAACTAAATTCATTGCAAGTACTTTACTTTTCATTTGTATTCTATGTATTGTATCTGTAATTGTGTATGGCTGGATTTTGGTACTTGTATTGTTCTAATATAACACATAATCAGTTTTTGTTTTGCTCATTCAGGGAGAAACTTATTCGTCTTCAGCATGAGAATAAGATGTTAAAAATTCATCAGGAAGGGTCAGACAATGAAAAAATTGCCTTATTGCAGAGCCTTCTAGATGATGCAAACCTACGCAAGAATGAACTAGAGACAGAGAATAGGTAAGAGTATACATAGGTGGCAATGTCCAGCCACAGGTTATCTCTCTTGGCATTGATTTTGATTCCTTTAAATAAAGGTTTGAATTGTAGTTTGAAAAGTTTCTGTGTAAAGAGTATTTTAATCTGTTTCTCCATTTTTGGACAGGCTTGCCAAAAAGTCTCATGCTTGTTATAATAGCATTATTCTCGTTTTTTTCCAAGCAAGATGATACCAAAACTCTAGTCTTTCTAATCATTAATTAAAACTAGAGCATTTGTTGGGTGTGGTGGTGCATGCTACCACATGTAATCACAGCTACTTGGGAGGTTCTGGAGGCAGAAGGAGCTTGAGTTTGAGACCAACCCAGGCAAAGTTTGTGAGACCAAAAACAAAAACAAAAACAAAAAACAAAAAACAAAAAAGGGCTGGTTACATAGTTCAAGTGGTAGAGAGCTTGCCTGGTATGTACAAAGCCCTGGATTCCATCCCCAGTACCGTAAAGGGAAAAAAAGGGAGGGGAATTTAAAAAATGTGATCATTAACTCAATCTTTCAGAACAGTTGTAATTTGGAATTGATGATGAGGTCATTAAAGTTTACACTCTTTTCACAGGCAAATGTTTCTTTTCTTTTTTTTTTTTTATTCATATGTGCATACAAGGCTTGGTTCATTTCTCCCCCCTGCCCCCACCCCCTCCCTTACCACCCACTCCGCCCCCTCCCTCTCCCAGCCCCAATACCCAGCAGAAACTATTTTGCCCTTATTTCTAATTTTGTTGTAAAGAGAGTATGAGCAATAATAGGAAGGAACAAGGGTTTTTGCTGGTTGAGATAAGGATAGCTATACAGGGCATTGACTCACATTGATTTCCTGTGCGTGGGTGTTACCTTCTAGGTTAATTCTTTTTGATCTAACCTTTTCTCTAGTACCTGTTCCCCTTTTCCTATTGGCCTCAGTTGCTTTAAGGTATCTGCTTTAGTTTCTCTGCGTTAAGGGCAACAAATGCTAGCTAGTTTTTTAGGTGTCTTACCTACAGGCAAATGTTTCAAAGGATCACTTGGTGTGAAGTGGAATTGACAAAGCCTTTTTTTTCTAATCTGTTATTTTTTGTGACCCTGAAAGAATATTCTTTCTTACGTGAGCAATTCAATTATTTTGGGAATCTAGAATATGCAAATTTGACCAAAAAAAATCACTCTTCTGTTTATAAGTTTTTGGTGTAGTCATTCAAAGTCAGTTACTTTAACAATAGCTTTTTGTTTTATATTTTGTTTGACAGTCTTTTGGTTCTTTCCCTTTTTGAAATTCTTTCTCAGACATAATACTGTCTTTTTTCTTATGACTGTGATATACTTTCTTTCAGGGATTCAACTTTTTTATTATTTTTATTAATAGTTTCACAGTTTACTTGCTGTTACAGATTCTCTGTGTGTGTGTGTGGGGGGGGTCCTTTATTGTACATTTACATTGTGGCACTTAACAAAGATTCTTACAATGTATCAGATTCTGTGTTCTTTATGCCTGATTGATATGGCATTTCCCAGGTGAGAGTCAGTCTTGCAAGTCCCCTTTAAGTTCTAAAGCTGCTGGGGCACAATCAGCAAACAGTGTAAATTGGTATAACTTCATTTGTCAATTCTAGTTTTTGTTTTCTATGGGTTTCTATCCAGGAAACTGTTGCCTCTGTCAGTATCTTGAAGTGTTCATCTATGTTTCTTCTAGTACTTTCAGAATTTCAGAACTTACATTAAATCTGATCCATTTTCAGTGGATTTTTGTATATGGTGAGAGACAGGGATCTAGTTTCAATCTTCTACATGTGGAGATCTGGTTTTCTCAGCACCGTTAAAGAGGCTGTCTTTTCTCTTCAATGAATGTTTTAGGGCTGGTGGAGTGACTCAAGTGGTAGAGCACCTGCCTAGCAAGCATGAGGCCCTGAGTTGAAGCCCCAGTACCATAAAAAAAGAAAAAAAAGATGGGATTTCAACAAATGTTTTGGGCACCTCTGTTGTGAATTAGTTGGCTGAAGGTTCCATAGATGTATGGGTCTGTTTTTATGACAATACCATGCTGTTTTGTTACTATAGCTCTGTAGCAGGTTGGTTTTTGTTTTTTGGGTTTTTTTTTCTGGTTGGTTAATTAGTTGGATTTTTTCGGGGGGGTGGGGGAGTGTTGTGGTGGGTTTGAACTCAGGGCTTGACTTTCACACTTCCTAGGCAGGTGCTATACCACTTAATTACAACTTTAGCCCGTGTAGTGTGTTTTGAAATAAAATATTGTAGTGCCTCCAGGATTAGTCTTCTTGCTCAAGATTGCTTTGGTTTTTTAGTGTTTTGTGCTTCCATATTAATTTTAGAATTTTTCTGTGAAGAATATCATTGAAATTTTGGTGGGAGTTGCATTGAATCTGTAAATTGCTTTGGATATACTATACATTTAACATTTAGCAATATTAATTCCATTTTAATAATGTTAATTCTCCCAATTCATGAACATAGGTGATTTTTCCATTTTCTACTGTCTTTTTCAATTTTTCTTTTAGTAATTTTCATTATTGAGGTCTTTCACATCCTTAGTTAGTTCATTCCTAGGTATATTTTTTATGGCCGTTGTGAATGGGATTGTTTTCCTGATTTCTTCCTCAGTGAGTTTATTATTGGTTTATAGAAAGCTACCAGTTTTTGTACCCTGCTACTTTACTGAATTTGTTTATCAGCATTAAAAGTTTCTTGGTAGAGGCTTTAGGATTTTCTGCATATAGAATCATATCATCTACAAACAGGGATGATTTGACTTCCTTCTGTCCTATTGGTATGCATTTTGTTTCTTTCTCTTCCCTGATAGCTCTGGCTAGAATTTCTAGAATTATGTTGAATAAGAGTGGTGAGAGTAGGCACCTCTATTACTTTTTGTTGGATTTATTTTGGCTCACAGTTTCAGAGGTTCAATCTATGTTCAACTGGCTTCATTGCTCTTAGGTCTAAGGTGAAGCAGAAGAATATCATGGCAAGAAACATATTGTAGAACAAAGCTGCTCACTTCATTGTTGCCAGGAACTAGAGAGAGAGAGCAAAAAGCCAGGGGCAAGATATACTTTTAACAACACACCCTCACTGACTTCTATTCTCCACCCAGGCCCCAACTCCTAGCTTCCACCACCTCCCGGTAATTCCATGAAGTTATGAACCATCAGTGGATTCATTAATTGACTTGGACAGAGTCCTCATGATCCAGTCACTTCTAGCATCTTCATCAGCTGAGAATCAAGCCTTCCTCACATGACTCTTGGGGCACTTCATTTCCAAACCATAACAACAACACCCATGTCTTATTCCTGATCTTAGAGGAAATGCTTCCAGTTTTCACCCAGTTAGTATGATATTGGCTATGGGTTTGTCATATGTAACCTTTATTATGTTGAGGCATAATCCTTTATGTATGGCTTAAGAGGTAGAGTACCTGCTTTGGAAGCACCAAGCCCTGAGTTCAAACCCCAGTCCCACCAAAAAAAAAAAAAAAAAATTGGGTGAAATTCAAATTTTTGTTTGAAGTCTTTTCATTACTGCCTCAACTTTATTAGTTTTACTGATTTATTCAGGATTTTTTTATTGGTTCAATTTTGGTGGGTCATGTGTATAGACCCTAGCTTTTCCAATTTATTGGTATATAATCCCAGATAATCCTTCAAATTTCAGTACTATCTATTGTAAGGTCTCCCTTTTCATCTCTAAGTTAATCATTTTGTGTGTGGCGGCACTGGGGGAATGTCTTCTCTCTTTAGTTTAACTAAAGTTTTGTCAGTTCTATCTTTTTAAAGAATCAACTCTAATTTCATTGATGCGTTGTATTGTTCCTTTAATTACTATTTCATTTGTTTCTGCTTTGGTCTTCATTATTTTTTCCTTCTACTGATTTTGGGGTTGGTTTGTTCTTGTTTTTCTAAGACCTTATAGTGCATCTTTTTTTTTTTTATTTGAGATTTTGTTTTTATATAGGTACTCATTGCTGTAAACTCATAGTACTTCTTTTACTATATCTTATTGGTTTTATATGTTGTATTTCCATTTTGGTTTGATTCAAGAAATTTTAAATTTTCACCGGACTTCTTCAGTGACCCACTATTCATTTGGTTGTGTGTTGTTCAGTCTCCATGCGTTTGTATAGTTTCTCTTGCTAATTTCTAATTTAATTCCATTATGATCAGATAAGATGCAAGAAATTATTTCATTTTTTTAATTTGTTAAGACTTGCTTTGTGGCCTGATGTATGGTCTATTTTGGGAAAAGTTCCATGTGCTAATTAAAAGAATGTGTATTCTATAGCTATTGGGTGGAACATTACACAGATGCCTGCTAAGTCCATTTGATGCATAGTGTAAATCTTTACCACTTCACCAAAGTATTTGTTCCTAAAATAAACAGTCATCTCTTAAATGGCTGATCCATTGTGAGCATCTCTTTACTTTATTCAATGTTGCTTATTTCCTCCTTCAAACTTCTTTTTTCTCTTTTTTTTTTTCTTTTTTTTTTTTGTGTGTGTGTGTGTAGTATCAGAGTTTGAACTCAGGGCCTCATGCTTGGTAGGCAGGCACTCTTACCATTTCAGCCATGCCACCAACCCTTTTTTTGCTTTAGCTATTTTTCCAGTAGAGTCTCATGTTTTTGCCCAAGGCAATCTTCCTACCTATGCCTCTGGAAGAACTGGGATGACAAGCAGGCACCACTATGCCTGGCTTGTTGGTTGAGATGTGGTCTTGCTAACTTTTTGACCAGGCTGGACTTGAGCTGCAGTCCTCCTGATCTGTCTTCCAAGTAGCTGGGATTATAGGCATGAGCCACCATGTCCAGCCCTTAAACATTTTTTTATTTCAGTAACACCCCACCCTTGTTTCCTTTAATTCTCTGATTTTTCTTCATGGTGAGGTTCCACTTTCTATCTCTTGAGTGATCTGCTATGGCTGTCTTTGTTCCATATTTCTACTATATTTCACATTCCTTCTGACAGTACTATTTATGCTCATGACTTCAGTTAACACCAGATTGCTCCCAAATGTGTTTGCTCAACTCAGAATTTTGTTTCTGCTTCAAGCTCAGATATCTAGGACAGGGGCTCCAGCAAGCAGGACAGGCTGTAGCTTCTGCGGATGTTTTTCACTTGGAGTGTCAATGTGGGTGTGTAGCCTGGCCTCCCTGAGTCTGCTCCTCCTGTAGAAAGTTTGATGGAAACTAACTATCTCACAGTGTTTCCTAAGGTGCTTGAGATTTCTAGTGATGATTCAAATGTAGTTTTTGGTAGACACATTTAAAAATTTTTATCTCAGTGATTTATCTGAAATTCATTTCAGTATGTTTATGAAGACTATGTGTCAGGCACTGCTCAGCAATAGGATATATACATTTCTCTCCTCAAGGAATGTACAATCTAGTGGAGAGGCAAAAAGGTAAACAAGATACAATGAGATAAATACTTTAAAACACTACACAGAGATACACAAGGCACCCAGCTTAACTAACCTAGGGTATAAAAACAAAAAGTAGTTTAAAAACTTACTTAAAATCTGAGAATATGAAATGTAAAAAGTTCATGAGAGACCTAATTTTATCATTTTCTCAAGGCCAGGAGAACAGGCATCCAGGCATTCAGACAACTAGCTCTGGGATCCTGACTCTAAAGATAACCAACCGTGATCTGGAATTGGAGGCAGCTTATGGTGTCCTAAATTTTATGTGTACTTCCAATACTCTTTTTTGTGATTGTTATCTGTAGTCACTTTTTGTTTGCCTTGTTTGTTTTTTTTTTTTTTGTCTTTTTTGTTTTGCTTTTTTTTCCTATTTTTTTCCTTCTTTTTTTTTTTTTTTTTTTTTTTCGGTGCTGGGGACCAAACTCAGGGCCTTACACTTGCCAGGCAAGCGCTCTTCCACTGAGCTAAATCCCCAATCCCTGTAGTCACTTTTTGGTACTGACCTCTGCTAGTATTTTTATTAAAAAATACATACAGGTTATACATTTTGCCAAAAAAGCAAAGGAGAGAAAAAAAATGAAAACAGAAATTTTAAGCAATATGAAAAAATAAGCTTTGTTCATGAATGAGGCTGCTACTATACTTCTGCTGCATATACTACTATTATAACGTGAATCTGAGTTTGCTAATTATTCTTTCTCTGTAACCAACAAGACAGCCAAAGCAAAAAAAGGAATGAATAAGTCTGTACTTGGAAAATTAATGTGCCTTTAATTTCTAGGCTGGTGAATCAGAGACTTCTGGAAGTGCAATCACAGGTCGAAGAACTGCAGAAATCTTTACAGGATCAAGGCTCAAAAGCAGGAGATGTAAGTTCTGGCATGTACTGCAATAGCCCAGAAGTTTCACAAAATGTTGAGAAAAGCTATAACTTCTACCTTTTGCTCAATGCTTGCAAATCAAAATAATTTAATGTTATACTAGTTCTAGAAAAGAAACAGTGCTTTCCTTTTTACTAGCATTCCTGTTTAAAAAAAAAAAGGCCCATATTCATATTCACTCTGCTGGTAATTAGAAGTTCATTTGTAGTTATCTGCCAGGGGATTAACAAGGCTTTACGTTTTAAATGCTCTCAACTTAAAGGTGAAGTGCAGAGTTTTCCCTATGGTCAAAAAAAAAAAAAAAAAAAAAGTTCAAATAGGAATTTTTAATCTAAACTTGATATTTAAGAAAATAAGGCCATCCCTAGAATCCCAATATCTCTAAATTTCTGAATCCCTCCTACTTGTCTCCTTCCCCCACAGTGACTTTTCAAATATTCCTTTAGCATTCTACATATCTCTGCACAGCTCTTCTGCAATTGGCACACTACCACCAGAATATGGGACCTGTACTGAGCCTAGGACAATGGCTTCTTTCACCTCCACATGGCAACTGTCCTTCATGGAGCTTAGGTAGCACATCATAGTTAGTTTCTAGAGAAAGCATAAATAAGTCAGAATTAGAAAATCCTTTACATTTAATAAGCAGTAGTATATAGTAGACCGAAGAGTTATAAACTGTTCAAAGATAATGTAGAGAATTAAAAAACAAACAAATAAATTTTACTCATCAGTCTTTTCTGCAGCCAGCTGCCATGTTTCTTTGTTGCCAGTGAAGTTTGCTGTAATCTCTGGCATTTGAGTATAAATTTACATGTTTAATTCCATCAGTGTGGTCACAGGTCAGCGTGGGGGGATCAACTTCAAAACTGTGGATTCAGGCACCCAGCCTTTCTAACCTAGGGTATAAAAACAAAAAGGAGTTAAAAACCTACTTAAAATCTGAGAGTACAAAATGTAAAAAGCTCATGAGAGACCTAATTTTATCATTTTCTCCTCATCTACACCTAGTTTATGTTGGCAACTTGCCGCCTTTCTGATTTGTTAGGCAAATGCTCTACTACTTGAGCCATGCCTCCAGCCCCTGATTTGTGATTTCAGCTTATCCTTTAATGTGTTGGTAGTCATTTTAGATTGCAGGTTGAGTCTCAGCTCCTATCATTGTTGCCAACATTTAGTCACCTTATGCCCTTATTAAAATGGAAATAGTTTAAAATGTCATAGTTTTTTCCCCTTTTTCCTTATTTATTTATTTGGTGCTGAGGATAGAAACAAGTGCTCTGCCACTGATCCATCTCCCTACCCCAGTATCATGCTTTTGAAAAAACATGTTATTATCAAAACTGCTACATTACAAAGAGGTAAAGCAAAACCACCATTAATGTACAACAAAAATAGGACTAGCAGAGTGACTAAACTGCCCAGGTTATAATGAGATATCTGGCTCTAAACTAAGCAGGAATCCCCTCTGAGCTCTTCTCTCCCTGTAGACAAGATTCAGGTAAAAAAAACTTTCTCTGTTTTGAAGCTCCACCTCTAAATACTTTGGAGTAGTAAATATATACTACAAGATATGTGATTCTTTCCCCCAACAGACTTTTGATATTTGTGTGTTACTTTTCTCTTCATTAACCTGCAGTGTTACATCTCAGAACATAAGACATAGAATAACCTGCCAGATGGAATTGGTCCCTCTGAAGAGCAATCTAATTTCTGCCTTTTTCTGTTATCAAAAACAGTCTTTTCATGTAACCTTAAGTCAGAATAGGTTGCTTTGCATATTTTTATTATTATTTTTATGTCATTTGTTTTTAGCATGGAAGCAGAAAAACATTGTTAAATCCAGTCATATGGATAATTTGAGCTAGCCACAGTGTATAAAACTCCTGAGAACAAGACAGGATGAGGAGACCATAGAAGAAAGAAAAATGTACATTACTGAAAAAAATGCATATCTTTTACTTCTGTTCATGAATTACTAAATCATTCTTCTCTTGGCTGCTGTGTTTGCTTCATACTAATGTGTCCTCTCTGTCTCTTGGCATGGTTTCTGCTCAAGGCTATTGTAAGTATGGCTTCCTGGTCATTTTCATCTGTTTAGCAGTGTTTAGATTTATACAGTATCTGACATCATAGGTGATGACTTTGAAATTTTAAATTGAGACAATTCTTTGCAAAATGAACTTGTTTTTTACAATTAAGATATTGAAAGGATATTAGAAATTCAAACAATAGAGAAGTCTGCTCTTGAGTCCCCTCTCTCCCTCATCTCATTCCTGCTCTGCCTTTTACTATAATTAATTCATTTATATAAGTTATAAATGAATATAGGAGTCTTGACACTGGCTTCTGGTTGCAGTCCGTCTTCCTCCTGCCATATATTTGAACAGTAATAGTCTTCGGTTTGGAGGGATCCTGCCTCATAGAAGGTAGAAGGTCGTGCATGGATTTCAGAGTCTGGGAGACCTGGGGTTTTAATTTTGGATCTGCTACTTGAAAGCTACTGAGTATTTTCAGTCTCATCTTCTTCAACTGCAAGATGGGGCTAATAGTTGTGAGGTTTACATAAGGCAATTAGTTGCATATGACATGCTTTATTGCATTGCCTGGTATATTAACTACCTATTTAATTATTTCATTACATATCATCTAAGAGTTAAAATTAATTTTGCTAGAGTCTACTTAAAGCATGAGTACAAAATTAAAGTTTTTTTTTTTATTTACATTTTTATCCTTTGTACTAAAGAGGGAACAAGTAATAGTCACTGGTTAGTAAGATTATGATCTGTTTGTATATTTGCAGGAAAGTGAGTTTGAATTATTTCTAAGCTGTGTTAGAATAGTCTTGAATAAGACCCAGGCATGGTGTCATATGCCTGTAATACCAACACTCTGAAAGGTGAGGCAAGAGAGTCTTGAGTTTAAGGCCAACCTGGACTACATAGTGAGATCCTTTCTAAAAACAAAACAAAGAAAAAGAATAAACTTGAATAAATAGTTATGGTGATTGTTATTAAATAAGGCAACTAAGAATTTAAGAGCTTACTGTGAGAGGGTTTTCTCCCCTCCAGCTGCTATTGATCAGTTGGACAATGTGTTTTATAAGCCTAGATTATTGTGTTCTCACTGAATTAATGATATAACCATTTATCTCAAAATGAAATTTTTCATAAAATTCATTATTAATATGTACCCTTACAGGTATTTGATTATGAAACTTAACCAGTGTTCCTATATAGAGTACCCTATTGTATATCTAGGTCAGTTTTGATCTTCTGCTTTTCAGAAGACCATTTTTTAAAGATACCAGTTGAAGCTAGATACTCCAACATATTAAATCCGTGCATATTTCCATCTTTCACGATTCTCATACTATTGCATAAATTATCTGTTACCTGTGCACAACCATAAGTCAGTAACTATGGAAATTGATCTGAGACTTTATCATGATAAAGGAAAATAACACAGCAGATAAAAAATGTCTTAGGGAAAGTCTGTTATTAGAGTACTTTCAGGCATACCAAGTCCAAGAATATCAGGTCTATGCGTAGGTAGCTTTTAAATTCCCTTCCCTGAATATAGAGAAATCACATATACCATTTCTGAGTATTTTATACTGATTGCTATCACTTACGGATGGCTCTCCCTATTTATTAGAAAAATAAACTGAGGAATATTGTGGTTTGAATTCATTGTCCATAGAAATTACTGAGGGCCCACTCAAAGTTAGTTACTATGTGTAGTAGGAGTATTTTTAAAAATAATTTGTTAGTTAAAATTTAAGTAATTGATTTTCATTTTCCATTTTCAGTCAGTTCTTCTAAAAAAGAAGCTTGAAGAACATCTGTAAGTATAAAAGCTGTTGAGACTCCTTATATTATGGGAAAAAAGTGCTTTGTGTTGGGGGTTTCAGAGGATCTAGACAATGGCACATGTGTCTATGAAGATAGAAGAAATTCTAATGCATGTTAATAATGTCTTCAGGGTCATTTCCCCTTCCTACTCCCGAGGTCCTTAGGTCTAAACACTGACTGTGTTAGATCTTTTTCTCTCAAATGAGACTTCATATCTTTGTTGTAGTATTTATAGTCATAGTTAGGAGTTTGAGATGCTAAATCAAGGGTCAAAAACCTTTTATTTGAAGGGTCAGGTAGTGATTACTTATTCTTAGCCTCTGTCCCTCTGCTGTGCTATTGTAGCTTGAAAGCTGCTGTGCACAGTATGAAACTATCAGTGGTGACCATGCTGTGATAAAACTTTATAACATACCTCAAAGACAGGTACCCAGCTGCCTGCAGCGAAGACTGTGGTTTGCCAACCCTAAAGAGTGGCCAGCCAAAATTTCTTTTTAAGTAAACCATTTGAAGTATACAGCTTGTTACTAGCATATTTTCAAGTATTTCCATGAATTACAAACATCTAAAAGGTGGATGTTAATTTTGATCTTTAATGAAGAAATGTTCAGCCTGGCACTAGTTGTTCATGCTTATAATCCTAAACTACTTGGGAGTCTGAGTCAGGAGGATCATGATTTGAGATCAGCCTGGGCAAATATTTTACCAGACCCTCAGTCCCACCAAAAAAGAAAAAAGAAAGAAAGAAAAAGAAGAAATCTTCATCTGTCCTTATCTAAGGTTCACCATGTAACAACCTTAATCCTTTCTGAAATTACTTTCTAGCAAAACTCCTTAAAGGCAATGGTTATGACTTGGTAGCCTGTTGGAGTATTAACAGTTACACTAGGTTAAGACAGGTATCCTCAGTGCCACAGAGATAATTTTGACTTGTTCTACTATGATTGGAAAGAAATTCTGTTTTCTAAAAGTCTGACTCAACTTACCCAACTTTTTTTTCTTTTAATATGGGAAATGTGAGATTCTCCTAGCAACTGAGATTTTGGCTTTTATGAGATCACCTGGAATGAGAATTTAGTACAAGGGAGTCTGTCCTTTTTTATTTCTCATTCCTTTATGATAGAAACTAGGATACCTATCATTTCATAAGTTGACTCTTTTGGACATTGTTCTGCATTCAGTCATTTACATGGGAAAAATCTTCATCAGCAAGGATTTATTGCTATGATGAAGCCTGTATTAGTTTCCTGTGACTGCCATAACTGATTGGCTTAAGGCGACAGAAACTTACTTTTTCACAGATATGGAGGCTACAGGCTTGAAGTCAAGGTGTCAGCAAATTGATTCTTTGTAGAGGATCAGAGAATTGTTTCCATGTCTGTCTCCTAGCTTCTGGTGGCTGCTGGCAATCTTTGGTATTCTTTGGGTTGTAAATGTATCATTCCAGTCTCAATCTCCATCTTCACATGACATTCTTTTCTCTGTATGGTGGTTCTCTCATCCTCAGGGATGCCTGACTCGGACAGTTCTGAACCCTACATATACTACATTTTTTCCTTATACATATCCATGATAAAGTTTAATTTATAAATTAGGTTCAATAAGAGATTAACAATAGTATGTAATAATAAAATAGAAAAATGTATTGGTGTACTGATGCAATGACAGTGGATCTGATCGCCAAATTGGCTACTAAGTGACTGATGCTCAGTAGCATGCACAGTGAAAGTGATTATTCACATGCCAGACAGCAAGGCCACATGAAATTTCATCATGCTACTCGGAACAGCATATAATTTAAAACTTAAGAACTGTTTATTTCTGAAATTTTCCATTTAATATTTTTGGACCATAATTGACCAAGAAACTAAAACGATGGGAAGGAAATCCACCGATTAGGGGTCTACTGCATGTTTGTGTCCTCTCATGTCCATCCTATAAAGATGCCAGTGATTGGATTTAGGGCTCATTCTGGACCAGTATGACCTCTTTCTTTTTAACTGGCTGTATCTACAAACATTCCATTCCCAAGTAATGCCACATTCACACTACTAAAAATTTGGACTTCAATTTATCTTTTTGAGAGACACAATTCAACCTTTATAATATGTTATAAAATATAATTATTATATTTATAATCATTGTAAATATTTATAATATGTTAATATAACAGGGCCTTTACACATCTCAAATAATGGTCAATTTCATACAAATTTAAAACTATACTAGACCATTTTAAGTACACCACATTAGTAAAAACTTTCAAGTAAGAAATAGTAAGCATTGCTAAAGATCTTAAGCAATGATAATTCTTACTATGTAGCAGTATACATTAGTAATGTGTACATACTGAGATATATCACTTCCACAATATGTACTCAAGATTCCTAGAGATGTTGTCCATGTGGACTAGCACACATGGGCATAATGAGTAATGCTCAATTTTCTGTGAATTCTTTAAGCTTTATATTTTGACATTGTATATGTCACACATGTCACACCTTCAAAAATAATTTATTGAAGAAAAGGCTTTATTACCATATTATGCTTACAAAGTATTTGAAACAAACATAACAAAGTTCTCAATTTTATAAGTGTTTTTCTGTATCTTCCAACTTTTGCAGCCTTTTTTCCTACTCTTATTACATAATGCCAAACTGAATATTGTAAAAGAAGAATTGTACATATTATACAATACCAGGAAAAAAACTTGGCTTTTTGTTCATTCTTTCTATTATATTGGAGTATAACATACATGCAGTGCAGTGTATATTCTCAGTTCCTGAGTATATAGCTTGATGAGTGTTTACCTTCGTACATAGGTAACTTAGATCAACAGATAGATACTTCTAGATACTGAACAGAATTCTTCCTTCTCCCTCCCAGATGATTGATTACATCTCCAAACCAGCCACGATGCTGATTTTTATCACCTTTGATAGTTTCTGAACTTCCCATAAATAAAATCATACATTATTACCCCTGAATTTTTTTTTTTTTTTTTTTTTTGGTGGGCCTGGGGTTTGAGCTCAGGGCTTCACACTTGCAAAATAGGTACTCTACTGCTTGATCCACACCTCCAGTCCATTTTGCTGTGGTTATTTTGGAGATAGGGTCTCAGGAACTATTTGCCCAGACTGGCCTTGAACCACTACCCTCCCAATCTCAGCCTCCTAAGTGGCGAGGAGTGAGCCATCAGTGCCTGGCTACTCCAACTTCTTTGTTCAGTATTATTCTATGAGATCTTTTCATGTGGCTGTATCATAAGTTCATTCTTTTTATTAATATATAGTATTCTTTCTGTTAATCCTTATTTTAAAAGCTTTATTTTTTTTTGCCAAAAAGATTTTTGCATTGTAAAACCTTTGCGAAGTTTCAAATATTAATTTTTATAATATTCTTATTCCTAGAAATTAAGCTCTGTATCTTCTTATACACATTTATGCATCAGAAATGGCAACTATTTCAAACCAAAGAAGACATTTTTGCCTTTATTTTTTATTAGTTAATATATCTTAGTTATAAGATATATTAAATTTATGTTTATTTAGTTTTTTATCTTTGTTTCATAACCCTGTGCTCAGTGCAAGAATATTCCAAGTATAAAGACTGTAGATCTTTAATTCAAAGTGAAGAAAAGAAAAACAGTAGCAGATGAGAGAGTGTCTTGTATTTTGTTACAGAGAGAAGCTGCATGAGGCCAATAATGAATTGCAGAAGAAAAGAGCCATTATTGAAGATCTTGAGCCAAGATTTAACAATAGCTGTGAGTTTGTTCTAATTGGCATTATTAGCCAAACACTACTCTAGTGATAATGAGTTTAGGTAGCTTGTTTCTTTTAGAAATAGGCCCTTATTACCTATTCTAGCAATTAAAGCATCCCTATTTACAGAAAGAATACATCATTATCTTTACGTCTTTTCTTTTGGTGGTATTGGAGTTTGAACTCAGGATCTTGCATTTGATAGTCAGGTGCTCTACCACTTAAGCCACACTTCTAGCCCCAATCTTTAGGCCTTAAATTACTAATTATATTTATGAATTTTTACTTAATCATGGATTCTAGTGAATATCACATGAAGCTGGTATTTTTGTAGTGTCGTTCCATGTACTATAACCAAACTTGCACTTCTGTTGATATTTATATAGCTTGTCCTTATCCTTTTGTATGGAGGCAAGAGGATTGGCTTTTACTTTTTTTAATCGTATAAAATATACATATCAACACTTAACCATCTGAAGTGTATAGTTCAGTGACTATAATGCATCACCACTACCCATCTTTAAAACTTTTTCCTCATTTCCAACTAAAACTCTGCACCCATGAAATGATAACTTCTGGACTGAGGGCATGGCTCAAGTGGTAGAGGATCTGTGAAGTAACCACAAGTCCTTGTGTTCAGTCCTCAATACTAAAGGAAAAGAAAGATAACTCCATTCATACCTCTCCCCAGCTCTTGATAACCATAGTTCTACTTCCTGTCTTTGTGACTTTGACTGTTATAGGTAGCTTATATAAGTAGAACCATAAGGATATTTGTTCTTTGCTATCTGATTTGTTTCACTTAGCATAATGCCTTTTTTCATTTTCACTTACCAAACTGTCCACATGTTGTAGCATGCATCAGAATTATGACTGAATAATACTGCATTATATGAATATACGTTTTGTTTATTTATTAATCCATCAATGAATAGTTTTTTATTTATACATTTTAATACTAGAGTTCTTGTTTAAGAAAAACTTTTTGTAGAAAAAAGTATGAGTTCACTTTAAAAACAAAAATTATGTATAGGAATAAAATCTCTTAAGGCTGTTAACTATTTATTACTAATTTATTAGTTAAGTATTTTAAAAGTTGTTACCATCTGTTTTCTTTTGCTTTTATAGTACTGGGTTTTAACTCAGGACTTTATGTGTGCTAGGCAGGTGCTCTACTGCTTGAGCTGTGCTTCCAGTCCAAAAGGTGTTATAATCTAAAAATACCTTTTTTCACTCTGTCTGCAGCCTTAAAAATTGAAGAATTACAAGAAGCTTTACGAAAGAAAGAAGAGGAAATGAAGCAAATGGAAGAACGATATAAAAAATATTTAGAGAAAGCCAAAAGTGTAAGCATGAATTTCTAACCATGTTTCCCTGAATTCTTAAAATAGTGTACTTAGCTTAACATCTCATGCAAAGAGCTATCGAGAGAAGAACAAAGGACATCTTCTAATGAAGCAAAAAATCTGAGAGGCCGGGCGCCAGTGGCTCACACCTGTACTGCTAGCTACTTGGAAGGCTGAGATCAACAGGAAGCCAGCCCAGGCAAATAGTTTACACGACCCTGTCTTGAGAATACCCAACACAAAACAGGACTGGCAGGATGCTTCAAGTAGTAGTTCACCTGCCTAGCAAGTGTGAGGTCCTGAGTTCAAACCCCCTGCCAAAAAAAAAAATCTGAGCAAGAAGTAGTGCTCAAAATAAATTACTCCACAGACTACTTCGTGGTGGCAGCCACCACTTCAGCCATTAGTGACAATTAACAGCACATGGTGTTAGAACCAAGCCCTAGAGCCTCCTGATGAAGTATCAGTAGTGATCAAGCTAAATCTCAGCAGTCCTTCAGACCCACCTTCCAGCTTAAGGGAAAATGAGGCTGTTGGATCAAGTTAAATAACACCTTTAGGAAACTATCAGATAATTCAGCTTTGGGGATAGAAGTCAGTGTCATGAGAAACAAAAATAGGCAGCATAGTGTGGAAAGGTATAGGAGACTATTCTGTTTTAAAAGAGTCCCATCTAAATGCCAGGCACGGTGCATTATTCTTTGGTTCCAGGATTGGGGACAGAGAGGAAATATGGACTTACTTGGATCAAATAATGACAGTTTTATAGCATTTTTATTTTCTTATAGATGATACTACTATTGTAATTGTATAGTGTAATATCCTCAATCTGAGGATATGCATGCATACTGAAGTATAAGGGTTTTATGTGATAACATCTGTGCATTATTTTTAAATAGTCACCAAAGCAAGCATGCATATGCGTGTGTTTGTGCTTATTTGTGTGTGGAGAGAGAAATAAGATATGGCAATGTAACAATAGGTGAATATAGGTTAAGGATAAATGGGTTTCTGTGGTTTCAAATTTTCTATAGGTTTGAATATTTTGATAGTAAAAGTATTGGGGAGTAAAAAAAAAAGTGATGGGAGGAAAAATATCTCTCCCCAGTCCTTTCCTTCCTCATCCAGTGTTATACCAAATGCTCATGCCCAAGCCCAACTACTGGCAGAGGAGAAGATGGGGCACAGTGGTAAGCCACCACTTAGGGCCCACTCTAAAGTGCCTGTCTATGTAGAGGCCAAGGGCTAGCTGAACCAAAGCAGGGAAGGGAGAGGATAGAGAGCTGCCAGCAGTGTCTACTTAGCAGTGTTTATTAATTTTAAGCCGGAAATACTTCTTAAAGTAATTGATTCTTACATATAATTCAAAAGTTGCAACAATTAATATTATTTCGCATATTTACATTTTGAAGTGTCCATGTAAGGTACCCTTTGATTCTCATAGGTTCATGTTTTGGGGTTTGGTTTTGTTTTGTGTGGTGCTAGGATGGAACCTATGGCCTTATACATGCTAGGCAAGTGCTCTACCACTGAGCTACACCCCAGCCCTCTTCTTTTTAATTGATCTCTTACATACTGCATTCTTTAAGACTTTTAAAGTTTTTCTTTTATTACTTTTGCAGGTTATCCGTACTTTAGATCCTAAACAGAATCAAGGAGCAGCACCAGAAATACAAGCTCTTAAAAACCAACTCCAGGAACGAGACCGATTGTTTCACTCATTAGAGGTAGGTCACTGTAGTGTGCAAAAAAATACTAAGGTTTTTGATTCTCTGTTTTCTGAGAGCCTTGTTGTTATATTTACAATTCTATCTATGGACTTAGGCAACTAATTGAATTTTCTTTATATTGAATTAAAGAATTAAAGAATTTATATCTTACATGTTTATATGTTTTTGTTCTTTAGAAAGAATATGAGAAAACGAAAAGTCAAAGAGAGATGGAGGAGAAATATATAGTTAGTGCCTGGTACAATATGGTAAGAAAACAACACTTAAGAACATAATGTGAAATTCAGTGAAAACGTTATTAAATTGCCTTTCCTATAGAGGTAATTCTACAAAAGAATCTGAAAGTAATCACCATTCTAATACACACTAACAAAGCTCCAAAGCTGACCTTAAGGCTAGAAACAGATATAACAACTATCATAAACAAGGATAAAGTGTTGTGAAGACATCCCCATTCCCAGAGGATGCAAAGACAGAGGCAGTTTAATTTTTGTTCCTCAGAGCCGTTTATGGTAGGAAAGGGGACATCAGTAATACCTAAATACAGGTGCAGTAGCTCTGCTTTGTGGAACTGTTTTATTTAACCTCTTCAGGCTGGGACTTACATTATAGATAAGTTAGCTCTCCAGTGGATTTTGGAAGACTTAAACAGATGAACGATGATCAGTTTAGAAACTGAACGTCACAACACAACAGAATTTCCACAATATTTTAGGGGAAATAAGTGCTCATCAGCATTATGATCTGGATTTAAAGAGCTGTGAATTTTACAGAATGCTGCACCTTTTCATATCTTTTTCCCAATTTTGTTTTGTCGTCTTTTTGGTTTTTTTTGCCTAATGGAACAACTCTGCTTTTTTTTAAATGTTAGTTTTCTGAAATTGAAGCCAGTTCTCAACACACGTACCATTCCTTTCAACATTCTTCCCTGGCTTTATAGCTCTGGTATTTGCAAACAACCATTGTTTTTATTTTACTGTTAGAACTGGTACTATCTCTTAAAGGTTAGTGTTGCTGCCTAATAAATAACGTTGTTTTGATATTTGCTAAAAGTTCATAAATTTCATTGACATGGTATGTCCACACTTATATCTGCCTTGGTCAAAGCTATGTATTTAAGTTTTATCATAATTTTTTAAAAAAGACATCATTTTAGAATATTACTATTAACAGAGCCTGAGGGTGTGGCTTAAGTGGTCAAACACCTGCTTAGCAAGTATGAGGCCCTGAGTTCAAACCCCAGTACTGCTCCCTCCCCCAATAGTTATTATTAACAAATAAAGATGTCTTGAAAATTAAATTTTAAAAATGGAGCAAAAAGCCCTCTTTTCCTTAACTCTCTGGGTGTTAATTCTGTCTTCTTCTGTTCTGTCTCTTCTTCATCCTCCTTGAACTTAATAGTCTCAGTCTTTTAGCACTGTACTTCATCCTCATTAGTAATTTCATTTTCTTGATTTTTTTTTTTTTTTAGTGGAACTGGGGTTTGAACTCAGGGCTTTGCGCTTTCAAAGCAGGTGATCTACCAGTTGAGCCACACCTCCAGTCCATTTTGTTCTGGTTATTTTGGAAATGAGGGTCTTGTGAAGTTTTTGCTAGAGCTGGCCCCAAACCACGATCTTTCCAATCTCAACTTCCCAAGTAGCTAGCCAGCTCTTTATTGATTTTTTTATGGCTTTACTTTTTTTTCTTATTTGTTTATTCTGTAACAACTATGATCTCTCCTGCTAAGAACAATCCTCATTTTTAACTCTTCGGAATGAAGGAGTAATTCCAAATAGACTTGCACAAGTTATGTGCAATTAAGATAACCAGTAAAACCATCATGCTTGCATTCAGAAAGTTCTGCATCTCAAGACTGCTTACATGGAAGTGAAGATGATGAGTGCTAGGAAAGAGTATTAAGTAGCTCAGAGAATAGCTTTGTGTTGTTCATTGAGATCTTAAAAAGTATATAGAGGGCTGAGGGTAGAGCCCTTAAGCACAGAGGCCCAGGCTCCACAAAAAAAAAAAAAGCACTTGCAAGGCTGGGACAGTAGGATTGTGAATCCAAAGCCAGCCTGGTCTACATAGTGAATTCATAGTCTACTTAGGTTACATAGTGAGACCTGTCTCAAAAAACAAATAACAAAAAATATTCTGGATTTTCTTATTGGGAAAATGTATATTTGGGTACATATGACAGACTGAAATTATATTAGGAATGTAAAACCATGACCAGTGTTTTTCTGAGACACTATAACTATGGATAAGTAGACTTGTCTTATAGTTGTCTGTATTCTGTGCACTATTACTTCTTTTTTGTTGTTGTCAGCCTCCACTTCTTCCTGTCAGTTTCCCTCTGTCCAGTCACTGGTGAGATTTTCCAACAATCTCAGTTCGTAAAGTTTCTCTGACTAGAGCTGTTCATTTGTTTATTAAAAGCAAACCAAAATTCTTTTCCCAGTCTCCTGCCTTTATTAAAATAGTGCTAGCCATTATTGTTACTGTTACTGTTCCTCCACATTCTGGAATCACCCTGGAGATTTCCCTCCTCCTGCATAGGTGCTTTTGCCCAGCAATTGTGCCTCCTCTTTCCTCAAAGGTAGTAGGTGATCCTCCTGTCTTCAAGAGAGACACCCTTTGCTCTTGGTTGGGCCCTCTCTTGTGGGCTGTCAGGAACTTCTCTTAATTTGTTTGCGAATACAAGTCTGCGTTGAAGTGAAGAAAAACAGCATAGTGGTATGTATACTACCTAGTGTGACTTTTCATCTTAAGAAATAAGTACGTTTGTGTTTTCCCTTTCTAAGTGGTTTCCCCAATCCATGTGAATCAACTGCTATCAATCAGGTGCACTTTTTTTCCCCTTGGAAATTCCCTATGCATTTGATTTGAAAGGGAAGAATGATTGAGGATGGGTAATGAATTACAAAAATCTGTCTATTCTTTTGGTTATTATAAATTCAGAAAACTAATCCCTAATTTTTCTAAAGGAAGATTTGTTCTTAATTGTTAGAACTAAAATGCTTCTATAACATTTTAATCTATGATGAGTAGAATTAACATTCCTAATTAATTGTACTTTGCTGTTCAGTATATAAATTCTGCATAGTGAAGTTTTCTTTTGTGAGAATATATTGCACTGCATTTTCATTGATTACTTCTGTTTTAATGTTATAGGGAATGACTCTGCATAAAAAGGCGGCAGAAGATAGACTGGCTAGCACAGGTTCAGGGCAGTCATTTCTAGCTAGGCAAAGACAAGCAACCAGCACAAGAAGATCTTATCCAGGACATGTCCAACCAGCCACAGCAAGGTAGAGAAGTCTTGCCATTTGGAATAAAAAAAAACAACCTGCATTCAAAACATATTTCTGTTACATATAACATTTCAGGAAATTCAGCCAGCTTATTTTTTGTCTTCTAAAAAAGTCAATATTTAATGTTTCTCATTTGAGGACTTTTTCTCTCTCTTATATCATTGTTTAGTTTCTTTGTCCTTTACTTTTTAGTCCTTTCAGTTCCTTTTAATGTGCCAAAAATTTGTAAATGTACAATTAAAAGTGTTGTATATTAGTGTAATACTTTTCTTTGTATGAAAATGTTATCTTCCCTAATGGTATAGGCTTTGTAATGAATTAGATTTTCTGCCAATACACATTTATATTCTTTATTGTGCCTATGTGTTACCATGCTTTATAAGAATGTCTTTGTTTAAAGGGAATTAATCTTTTTATGATGTATTAGTCTACATTTTCAATTATTTTCCAAATGCACTTCAAATAACTTACATATTTACACAAAATGGTTGGCAAGTGCACTTTTTTTTTTGAGAAAACTTAAATACATTGGTAGAATTGCTAATCAGCTCTTTCCTAGGACAGAATTATTTAGAGGGGGAAAATGAGTTTTCACATTGTTTTATAGGACATTAAATTTGTTTTTAAGATTTGGAAATAATTTCTAAAACATAAATATGTAAATTTCATTATTTTGTGCTATTCTTTTTGCAGGCAGAAGTGAATGCATTTGATGAGGTTATTTTGGGAGAAATTACAGAAGAAAAAATGCAGGCAGTATATTATTTTTTTTCTTGCTTTGGAATATCTTAGTAACTAAGGGTCAGATTCTAGCCATGTGCTTAACATTTATAATTTGAATTGCTCTCCACATATAAAAGATTTATTTTTCATCGACTTGTAAGCAATAGGTAGCCTTACTTTTTTGGGCCATTTATTGACTTTACCTCATTTGTTTTACTTATTCATTAATCTCTTCAATTTCTCAATAATTCCTAACACTTGTATCTTAATGCCAGTTGTTATGATCAGCACATGACAGATCTCTACATTTTTTCTTAAGTCTATCTACCAGTTCTGGAATTTGTTAGTGAGTAAATATTCTTGTTGTTTGGTTGCTTGAAAGTGCTTACATTATAAACCATGTCTATTTACATTGATGAATGGCTGTCAAGTAATCATTGTGAAGCACTTTGTCTCTATAAGGTGCTATACAAAAGCAGGATATCATTCATTTGAAAATGAGCTGCCTCTGTCTGTCTTTTCCCATATTGACTTATGTATTTGGTCCCAAATTATATTTGAATTCATCTCCAGCCTTTTTATATCTTGCACCATGGCACATTTTTTTTAAAGCAAAAAACTTCTGAAATTAGGTTGGGGTTTTTTTGTTTGATTTTAAATAGGTCACTTAATAGGAGAATGTTATTTCATGTACTTGCAATTTGGAAGTTCAGGTTTCACACAGTTATGTATATTAAATATGACTTTAAATCAAACTCAGTACACTTAAGAATTTTCAAAATCTATATTCAAGTGCTTCATTTTGAATCCTTGCTTCCTCTTTTATAAGAAAGCTAACCTAACAATTTGTAGTACTTTTTTGTTTATATTTTAAGACAGAGTCTCACTATGTGGCCTAGGCTGGCCTTGAACTTGAATTTGTGATCCTCCTGCCATAGTCTCCTGAGTGCTGGGATTACAAATGTGTACCACCATACCCAGCTCTCATAGTATTTTTATTCTCAAAAACCATTGTTGAAGGGAAGGTATTAGAACATGCACAGAAATGAATCCATATATTGTGCAATTTCTTTTTTATGTTAACTGCAAAACGTCTAAGCACAGTATGAATACTTCTGCCTGGTAAGACCATACAGCAGTAACAGTTAATAATAAAGGAGGGAGCCATGTGAGTAGAATACATTTTGGAGTTTTAGGCTAAGCAGATTAGGTCAAGATATCAAATCTTTTTCTTCCTTTTTTTTGTTTTTTGAGATGGTCTCACTGTGTTTCCCAGGCTGGCCTCAAACCCCTGCACTCAAGCCATCTTTCGGCCTATGCCTCCTGAATATCTGGAACTATAGGCTTGTGCCACCACTAATGTGTCAGGTTTGACAATAAAAAATTAAAAATGATTTAAGATGGTTCTTACCCCCTCCTTAAAGATTCAACCACTTTTTAAACAACTTAGGATGTGAATCTCTGCCTTGATAAAATGAAAATTATTAGGAAATTATACCTATACAATAAGGTAAATGAAAACAAGATACTCTAGACTACTCATCAAATGAATTATATCTGTGTGGTCAGAGGTTTCAATTTTCATTCTCTATTTACCATACCCTGGTCTCCTCCCATCCACCTACGCAGATATTTTCTCTGGAAAGGCATCAAGGTTTTAGTAAGAAGTTTTCTTTCTTCAGCATGCTGTGATTTTAGTGTTTACATTGATAACTTTTTCTCTCCTTTACTGTGCCTTTAAAGTTTGATATATTGTTTTAGAAGAAATTACATTTCCAGACATTTTATGATGTTTAAAAACAAAAATGAGACAGGCCAAAAATAAAATCTGACTGTGGCAAGAATCCCCTTCTCCAGCTTTGGACAAAATTTATGACATTTCTCTTTGTCTGATCATGATCAATAACTTTTCGGGTGGATTGTGATGATGCATGATCTATCTATCAGAAGTTAGAAGAGGTGAGGAGCTTGGTTTAGAGGTGGGCAAAACTTGATGTTTTTCATGAGCTTCTTGTGTACAGTAGCTTTGTGGGGCTGTGTGCTTATGCAGCAGAGCTAGTTCTGGCGTCAGCAGGGGAGCCAGGACAATGGCACTGTGTCATGCTGGGGTGAGCTGACACTGTTGCAACCGAGTTCTCTTAAACAAAAAGCTTATTTTCTATGCTTTTTATAAACAGGGTAAGAAAATACAAAGTAAATTACTAAAAGACATTAGAATTTATGTTCTACAGTATGTATAGGAAAAGAATCCAGTACATATACTAGCATATCACATCTGAAATGAAAATAAATAATTGTATATATTTTAAGTGAACTTTCAAAAACTGGATATCTTTTTATAATTTCGTTATTTGATAAGAACCAAGAAAAAGAAGACCCTAAATAAAAGACCTATTTTTCAAAACTTATCAAGACTGAATTATTTCTGTTACTTGTCTTTAGCTTGATGAAATTGGCTTAATGAGATGATTATATTATTTATAGTAAGGATAATATTGTAGTCATTAATTTTCTTGAAATTCTCTTAGTTAACAGAATAAAAGCTCAATTGTACAAAATCAAGCTTAATGTTACTTAGTCAGAAACAGCCCACATCAATTCTTACAAAGAAATGAAAGTCCATGGTATGCAGAGATCAATGGTGAAAGATGAGCTGGGTTGAAGAGAAGATTCATTTTACTTATGACCTACTTTATGCACATCTTTTCAGTTTGATTTAATCTTACTAAGTAGTGTCTCTTATTCTCATACAAACATTCATTTATTGTTTTAATAACACTTTTTAAAACTTTAAAATCTATACCAATGTAAGAATTATCTTAAAACAAAAGTCTAGCTGTGCACCAGTGGCTCTTGCCTATAATCCTAGCTACTGGGGTGGCTGAGATCAGGAGGATCACCATTTGAGGCTAGTCCAGGCAAATAGTATTTGTGACCCCCATCTCTAAAATAACCAGAGCAAAATGGATACAGAAAGTACTGGACAAGCCAGTCATCATGGTGTGTGCCTGTAATCCCAGCGCTTGGACAACTGAGGTAGGAGAATCTTGGCTAATCTGGGATACATTCTAAGACCCTGTCTCAACCAAACAAAAATAAAGAATGTACTGAACAAAATAAAATGGGATATCAGAATCTATGGGAATGATTTTTATCACATTTAAATTTTTTTTCCTTTTTATATGTTGAGAGTTTTCCATTCAATAATGATAATCCCTTTTCTGTAGATCTGTCATAATTGCAGCTTATTTTGGTAGTTTTCCAGCCCAGTTTCATTACATTTAGAAAGAGGTTTCAGAGCTTATTCTTTATATTTACTTGAATATCTTTTCGATATTTTTTACAAGAGGGCTGGTCTCAATGTAAACATCCAGTTTTTTTTTTTTTACTTTCAATAAGGAATATTTAAGTAACTGGTATATGTTTCTCTTATTTAAAATATCCAGTTTTAATATATTAATGTTCTTAAGTTTTGTAATAAGTACTCTTCTGTTCTTGGAAGCCTAAATATCATGAAATTGTTTGGTACTGGCACAGCTAATGTCTACCCCTTCCTATTCCCGCAAATTATGAAAGTACTGATGTTTAGTATCCTTTTTATATAACAAAGGACAGCACAAATATGATGATATCCATCTCAACCCATGATTATGTCCTTGGGAAGTGTATACTTAAGATTTTTGAGCAGCCTTTCATCTCACCAATTGATATGTATTATCTTCTTTATGAATATAAAAACCATATAGTCTATATTTAATACTGACTTTGAACATGAATATCCTTGAATTCTTCTCATTCCACTGAAATAATAGAGAAGGGGCATTAGTTTGAGAAACAAAGACCTATGGCAAGTATGAATTTTAATAATTATGGGGTAATCCTTAAATGCTTCCCAAAATTTTTATATGTATTTATAGATAAGTATATACATATACATACATGTACACATATCAGGATTTATTTGTACTTCTGTCTCTTCAGTATTTTTCTTTTTGTATCTTCTAGTAATACTCTGTAAGTTTAAGTTTGCATGTGGTATGTGAGACTAGAAATTGAAGAAAGTAACTGAAGGCTGTTTAGGTCCGTTCTAAAGAGTAGAATGGATATTGGCATAGAAATGGCCTAATGACAGATACCTATATTCACTCATAAAATGAAAACATACAGTAACTTAAATGACCTTAAAGTAACAGTTTACATAAAACATTGTCATTATTATATATTCATTTGAAAAGAATAGACAAAAAAATCTAATTTCCAATTGTCCTTCTTTTCATTGAGTATTAACTAAGCACATCATGCAACTGTGTGTGTTTATCAGAGGAGGAGAAAACATTTTTCTTTTTGAGTCCTCCTGAATTATACATAGTAGCCCAACAAATAGTGTTGAAAATGAAGGCAAAAGTGGACATTTTTGAAGCATATTCGAAATGAGCCTTTGTGTGCTCTGACACATTACTACCATGCTCAGAATCAGGTGTTTAGGGTCTGAAGATGATATAAGAGGTGTGCACAACCTCAAATTTTTAGGTCCATGGGGCTCTCAAATCCTGAATTACATACATCCACTTTAAACTTAAAGGAAGAATTAAATATGAGAACACCCTTGAAATGAGAAAAAACTATCAAAGCATGCTGAGGCTTTAATACATGCAGAGAAGACTTCTGAACAGGCTCTATCACTCATAATAGCTCTGAATTGACAAAAGAAAGTAATTAGCTTAGCATTGTATTCTAACTTGGTGGAAAGAATCCATGTTTATTGTTGATGTATTTGTAAGCTTATGGACAGTAGTTGCATACGTTCCATAATATGTTTATTTTAGATACATCAGTATTAGAGACAAGTGTCAATATTATTTACTATTCTAATCACTTATTGATAATTTATACTTTACTGCAATTCTTACAGCACGTTACTAATATTAGATGATTATTTTCCC